TTTGATTTCAAATCATCGCTTTCGAATAAACTCAACTGTGATTGAAATGACCATTGCAAATATAAGTAAACTATAGCTGATAAAGTTATTATTATTAAAAATATGTTCTTCAGTCTTGTACTCAAAATAACTTTCATATTATTGGATTTTTTAAAAATTTCTCATTAAACTTATTATTATTGATAAATTATCGACTGCTTACTAAATTTTAACTAAGCTTTACTAAAATAAAAAATAAAAATAAAACAACACAAGGACATATCATTTCCTGAATTTCGCGGGAATCTCCCCCCATTTTTATATCTAAGAAAATATTTATAATTAACCGAATAATATTTCCATGGAAATATTATTTATTTAATTATAAACGATCAATCGTTTCAATGACATTTCTTGATAATTTATATAATATATGATAACTAAGTAATAACTAATTTTTAACTTATTCATCTAATATTTTATGTTGATAAGGTCAGTCCGTCTGACCTAATCAGACTGAAAAATTATAAACAATAATTCGTCGTGTTCAAAATAATTCAATCACTAAAAGTACAAAGAAAAAAACAATGAACTTAAAAGTATTTTTTATGATATAAAGCCTACTAATTTTTAATCAATATTAATAATAAATATATTATAGCACTGTTATAATATAACAATATAATTCATAAGTTAAAAGCAATAATTTTAACAGCGCTAAACTGGCAACTAATTTAAATTTTTTTCAAACACTTTTTTTTTCAAACGCATTTTTTCCAACACTTACTAACTATTGAAAATACTTATGACTTTGCTGGAAACTACTAGTCAGTGGCGGATTAAGACTTCTTGGGGCCCGGGGCTATTTTTGTTTTTAGAGACCTTTTTATGGGCCAAAGCCTAAAAATGACTTAAAAATGGCTTTTATTGCTTTATTTAATTTAACTTCCTTATATATAATCTAAGCCTGTTTTCTCTTTAATTTTTTAAAACTCTAAAATGAATAACGCAAGAAGACAATGCTAAGAATGAGATGTTAAAGTAAAAAATTTGATCATTAATCTTGTAATTAACGAAAGGAAAAGCGTAAAAGAAGTATCAAAACTTGTGCATGGAAGTGAGACTTCAATACGACGCCTGTTCCATCAATATATATCAACAAGTAATATCAATCCTGGTATTAAAGGTAGTTTTCGACAATAAAGTTGTATTGAGGAAATAAGAAATAAGCTACATGAGTTATTTGGAGATAACAGAAACTATAATCTACAGGAGATATAGGTAGAATTGGGAATTGACGTCAATGCCTCTACATTATGGCGATGGTTAAAAAAATTTATTATAATAAACTATACATACAAAATTTTAAGACCCATTAGTGAGAGACACAATACTGAGGTAAAAGAAGAAAGAAAAACATATGCTTCATGGTATTTAAACTTGACTTTACAACAACGTTACAGAAATATCATTTATACTAATGAAATATCATTTATACTAATACTAATGTCCGTTCAACCTTCATATGATAAGAAACCACGGATACAGTCTCCGAGGAACGACCCTAAATCAACGTATATAGTCATCAAGAGGCCGTAACATAATCATGATATTAGCATTTAAAAAAATTTGCAATCTTTGCTTATACAAAAAATCCCTTATTTTAAATTATAAAGCTGAAAACTTGTTAAATAAACAAATTTAGTTAATTTCAAAATGCGGGCACAAGAATAAATTTCACTAATCTTTTTTTTCACACTGGTGATTATCCAATATTTTGTTTTTCTTTGGTTGCCATCAATGTCTTTTAGCAATGTAAAGACAAAACTACACAGTACTTTGTAATTTTTAGCGGTTTTTTTGTTTGTTTTTAGTTGTATATTCAATTGCTGATGATTGCCGTATAAACATGAAACTTATAGCACCATAGAAAAAATTGTATTTTCTTTGTTAATATATATATATATATATATATATATATATATATATATATATATATATATGAATAGTATTACGTAATAATCATAAAGAAGCTACTGTGATGTGAATAATTTATCAAGGAAATCGAAACTATGCTTTAAATATAAATAATTAATTATAAATGCTATAATTTTATCATAGAGCTAACACATCACAACGGTGGCCTATAACTCAACCTAATATTGAAATTTCGTAAATCGTAGATAATGATGTTTTTGATTTTCAACCCAAAATTTTTGATTGTTATATTATACTACTAATTTTCCAACCTACTAAATCGTTGACCTACTGTATTTTTGACCTACTGAATTTTCAACCTACTGAATATTCAACTTACTATATTTTCAATTTTATAACTATGCCTATCCGATATGTATTTAGTATATTTTGTTATTCATTTGAATACGAATCATATTTTTAAGTTTAATAAAAATCTCATATCAAGTTTTTACTCCAAAGTAAAAATGTTCAACTTTTGCTCTCCAGTAAAAATCTCAGTAGGGATGGGGGTGGGGAACATGGAGCAAACTCCAATAAATCCTTGTAAATATCTAAGGATCTAATAATCATAAATATGTGGCGGGATAGCTCAGTTGCTGACAGCGTCAAAGAAAAAGGTAAAATCCGGACTGAACGATACGAGTTCAAATCCCGCCACCGCCAACTCAGCGCTTGAGTAGTACTTCGGTACGCAAAAATGTTGGTCAATAACGGACGCTACTTTGAGTTAGTCTAAATGACTATTTGTGGCTGTTCCTATGCTAAGCCAACAATATCTTCGGATATAAGAACATTGTATAGAAAAATATAGCATGAAAAACTCGAATTAAAAGAACTAAATAATTTTTAAAAATTTTTTAGTTGTTTAAATTCGTGTTTAATAAAACAACTAAATAATATTTAGATTTTAACTGACTATATTATGTTGTACTGTAACTGATTGCCTGCTTCAGTTTATTTCAATAACACAGAATACTAAAATAAGCTTTCAGGTAACTATATATTAACTTGCTACTAAATATAATCTTACATGTTATAAAGAATGTTGCTACCTGTAGGTAGTTTTAGCAATATGTAAGGTTATGTTTAGCTATATTTAACTCTCTAGTGGAAACAAAATTAAAAGTTTATAATTTTGAAATTATTATAATTGAAATAACAGAAATAAAGTAATTTTTTATGGAGGCTAATTTTTTTTCTGTTCTTATTTTTTAATTCTTTCTGAGTTTTTTCTTTTTGCAATTAAAATTCTTTTTTCAAATTGTTATTTTAAATTTTTATTTTAAATTATAAAACTTCAGATAGGCACGGGTTTTGATATATCTTAATAAGGTTTCAATGAACTATTCAAGCAGAATGTTCTAACAAGAAGAACTACTACAAGGGTTGTTCAATATTCTCAAACAGCCTCTAATAGATTTCAACAAAAGTTTGTAGATTTTGGGGGAAAAGCTTTACAAGAAATTCTTCTTATATTTCTAAAGCTATCTGAGGCAAAGATCAAATTTGGTATATTTGTTAGACCCCAAATAATAGCAATGTTACAGAAATTTAAAAGAGCTATGAAAAAAGGTTGGTATAAATTTTGTTATATAGTTCGTGAATTCCTAGGATATCGCAAACACCCTAAGTACAAACAACTGGCATATTATTACAAACAACAATTACAAACATTTGAATCTAATTACAATCAACAAAACTGTTTTTGAATTCATTATAAAATTCAAGAAACTGGGTTGTCGCATGTCCATAAAAATGCATATGTTGCATTCACACTTAAGTTTCTTCTCCAAAAAAAATTGGGGATGTCACAGAGGAGCATGGTGAGAGATTTCATTAGGAAATTGCAAATATGGAAATTAGATATCAAGATTGATGGGAGATCATATATAGTCTCCTGTCATAAACAATGCAAATATGCACTCAAAAAAACTGCGATTATCGAAGCACTTCTAATCTTGAGGAAAAGAGTTTTTAGTAAAGAATTATATGGTAATTGTTCAAAAACATATATATTAAAGAAGTGTATTTTTTTTTTTTTAATCATATAAATGCATTTAAAACTAAACCAGTTATTTTTTACAAATAAATTATAATGTAAAAAAAATACTGTATTGTGATAACAATTAAAATCACTTTTTGTTATCACAATTACAATTGATTGCGCCCATCTAGAAGCATATAAAATCTTTTCTTATTTTATCTCATTTTATTATCATAATTCTTTTTTTATCTTGAATTTATTTGATTTTTTATATTATCAACAAGATCTTATGGATGAGATAAAAAAGAAGTAAATTTAAGTTATAAAAACATTGAGGGCAGGACTAGTGAGTTGAAGGTTCTCCCACCTGTTATTATAATCCAAATTTCTTAAAAATTACTAAAAAAAACAACTTTAAATTTCCAAAAAGGCCCTTGTTGTCATAAATATAACAGCTTTCTTAATTTTTTTTAGGTTCTTAATATTATATACTTTATAGTAATAATTAAAAATTATATTTTATATTCTTATAAAATTTTTATTTATTATTATCTTTCGCTATTTCGGTTCTTATGTATGATATTTAATGATAAATATGTACATATTCTATATCTATATTTAAAAATATATATTATTTACAGAATGTTAGGAATTTGATGATAAGACAATCATGTCTTTCATTTTCCTCAGTCATTCGTATATTTTTATAAATTATGAATATTATTATTATTGTATCAACGGCAAATCTACAAAAAAAAAAAAAAAAAAAAAAAGTTTGTTTGTTAAACACGGCTCAATATTAAAGTGATAAATATATCAGGTGGACAATATATTAATATACGAGCTGTTGTGACCGATAATCATTCTACCGATGTTGATGCATTTTTAGTGTTTCATAAAACATATACTGGAGATGGAAACTATTTATCATCCAGTTTTTAATGAAGTTATCATTTAATTTGTTTTTTTCCAAAAAGTGTTTTCTTTTTTATTTGATTTGTTCTTTTTCAAAAATGCTTTTTCTTTTTCATTTTATTGAGTTGCCATCATAATTTAATTATCATATTATGACAACTCGATCCAGGGCCGTCCCTAGGAGGGATTCAAGGGGTAGCAAACGGGCTAGCTTTCTCGGTTGTTGCGGCCTATAGGGGCGCAGCAGCAATTTTTTTTAGCGATCATTATAACTTCATAAAATATCTTTACCATTTAAAATCTTAAACGCCCAACATTTCTAGTCATTGACTTTAATAAATAAATAAATAAGTAAGTACACAAAGTCCTTAGGTCCCAAAAAAAAAAAGTTTATTTTTTACTTTTTAGCCCATATTAAAAATGTTTAAGAAACTTTTAAAATTCTTTTAAAATATTTTATTTTTTAACAAATTTTTTTATTTACACTGAAATAAAGTTTGTTTTGCGAAGTCTTTTTTTAACGATTTCTTATATATATATATATATATATATATATATATATATATATATATATATATATATATATATATATATATATATATATATATATATATATTTAAACATCTTTGCTTCCAACAAGGCTGCAAGCAACCACTAATTAGTGTTGGAAGTTACTGGAAGAGAAGGATAAAGATTGTAGAGCAAGATAACGATTGATTTACGTTAAAATAAAGTTTTTTTTCACGCTTTTTGTTTTAATAAATTTTTAAAATAATTTCAATTACCAATGCAAAACTCGTATTTCCTTTCCGCGAACAGTAAATTAAATAAACCGGCAAGAAAGTAAGTTAATAAAACTGTTGTAATAAAAAGGGTTGCAAACTGTAATAATGTGAGTAACCCACCCTCTGTAGTTCAACTTCTTCAGCTAGTTTTGCCACATGTTCATTAACTTCAACCTTGGACATTTGATCAAATCTCAAGAAGCATCAAAGAAAAACAAAGAAAATGTAATTTAGAGCCTATGATAGTTGAAGCAGATGATCACAATTACAACTGATTTTTCGCGTAGAAGTGACACTTTCAGTTTTTTCAAGGTGTTATCCAACAAATTAACAATGCAGCAGAAAGGTGGAGAAACATTTATAAGCAAACAGTACCAGTGGCTATGTACTTGGTAGTCATAATATTACATTCCGTGGAAGCTCATCAAACCTGTACACTACAAATAATTGGAACTTCCTTGGTCTTATCCAATTTAATTGGTCATTTTTGATCCAGTTTTGATTGAGCATTTACGGCTAATTGAAGGTGGAGAAAGAGTTTCACAAACGCTAAGTGTTAATATTTAAAACGAGGTCATTAACTTCTTCACATGTAAAAGAAGCTATTGTAATCAAGGTAAAGTTTTGAAAGTATTTTTTAGTTATTATAGATTATACTCCAGAACTTAGTCACAAAAGCAAAACTTCTCCATCCGCTATATTAATGAAGAAAATGAAGCAATAGTCATCGTTCTAGAAAGTTTTATTGGATAAGCAATGAAGTGTCAACTGGTGAAGCTCATTTTAACCTTCTAATTGAAGAAATAAAGTCTATTAGGCTATGCCTAATTAACTTTAGAGGTCAAGACTATGACAATGGGTCTAACTTATTGCAATTCGATAAGGTATTCAAGCTTGAATTTCAGTAGAATAGCCACAAGCCTCGATTACACCTAGTGGTTGCCACAGCTTGAATATATCAGACGGAGCTAGATCATTGCTAAAGTCTATATTACTGTTTTTAGTTATTCAAAGAACCTATAAAATTTTTTTTTGCATCAACCAAGCGTTGATCACTTCGAGTCAATATAAGGACTCCTATTTGACCTGAAAAAACTACCACTAAAGGACAAATTTAAAGAGGATTACAAAATGTTATAAGAACACCTGACTGTGAAAAACATTTCAGATAAAAATGGGGAAGAACTGTAAAATGAAAATTCTACACGTCAGTTTGGTAGCTACTATCTTTGACAAATAGTATGAACAGAAGCAGAAGACAGCCAGTAAAAGATTATCACCATTAGAAGCACTCAATATAATCAAAAACACCGACAGAAAAGATTTTTTTACAAATCTGTGGATACACACATATTGCTGATAATTTCAGCGACAGTGGCCAGAAGTGAACGTAGTTTCAGTAAGTTGAAGTTAATTAAAACCTACTTGCGTACATCGATGATGCAAAAAAGATTGATGTTGCTTCCAATACATTCAATTGAAAACGAGGAGGCGAAAAATCTAAACCTTGGAGAAGTTATTTAACAGTTTTCCTTGAGAAAATCTTGAAGAATGCCGATATAAAATTACCGATTTGCTGTATTTTAAGTTTTAGAATGAGCTATTTAATTTCTTTAACTTATTATAATTTTTGTATTGAATGCATATATATTTATCTTTATGGTTTACACCACCTACCAATGTGGTGTAAGTATTAAAGCTTATGTACGCGACTATTAACGGATGGAAGGAGAAGGGGCGCAAAATTATAAACTCTTCTGAATTAATTCATGTAATTAATCATACTTAAAACTAATGTTAATCAACTTTATTATTGTGATTTTGCAACATCAGTAAACATACAATAAATATATGAAGCCGAACATGCACCAAATAAACATGTGGGTAAACCGACAATTGTGGGTTGAAAATTGTTGTCATAGAAACGGACAGAACTTTTTGATTGACTGCTTAACTTTTAAGACGCAATTAATTGGGTTGATAAATAAAATAAATGGGTTTTGATTTAAGTATGTAAACAAAATGAAATATTTAGAGTTTTTATTTAAAGGATTATTTTTAACTATTGTGACGCTTTTAATCTCCAACCCCCTTCTATGTAACCATCTGTCGCTAACTACTTGACCTCCCTCCCCCCTAAACTTATGATTTTATTAAAGAAACGTTCCAAAATTTTCTTAAAGTTAAGTTATTTTGAGAACCGAGCTACTGAATACCTGCGAGTAAGAGACTACTTAAAATAAAAACGAGTGCGTAAATTTCTAAACTTAACCGACTATTGGAAATAGTTGCATTCAAAACAAAACTCACTTAGCGATAAGATATGTTATTTAAAAAAGTGTCAGTTTTCTTATCCTTGACATTCTACAGTGTGCATTGCCTACCAGTGAGTTTATTTTTTTATTAAGCTTTAAAAAGACTTATTTTTTGAAGTTAAGTATCAATATATGAACGTCACATTTGGAACTGCAAACATTGAATGTGTACAGTGGTACACATTTTTGTCCAGTTGTGTCACACACTCTCTACCATTGATACTGGAAATTTTAATTCGCTATTTTTTATTTCCTTTGAAAAATTTTTAGGTTCAAAAACTTAATGCATACATTTCAAAACTTGTGTTCTTATATTCTAAAAACAAGAAATATCATGAAGACATATTGAAAAGTAGAGCTTTTTTAAAAAACTTCAATAAAACATTTTTCAATGATCAAAAAGATACAATTATCATCTTGAAATCTACGCATTTTTAGTAGTTTTTCTGACAAAAAATACCAACTACATTGGCTTGAATATATACTTTTTTATTAAAAGGATTAGTTTCTGACTAATTATCTAATAGCTTTTGTCTTTAGATTTGTTTATCTTTTTTCTTTTTCATCATTTTATTTGCTATTCATAGCAAAAAAGTACACCGTATCTGTGTCTTTTTTTTAATTTTACTTTCTTTTTTAAATGTAAATCTTCTCATTAAATACTACTCTCATGACAATGCTATATGCTAAGACATAGAACATTGTTATAGACGTACTCTAAGCTATTTATATATATATATATATATATATATATATATATATATATATATATATATATATATATATATATATATATATATATATATGTATATATATATATATATATATATATATATATATATATATATATTCTATTAAAAAGTTGAGTTTAAAATATATAAAAAATTATAGAAAACATAATTCTAAGTTTTAGTAATTCAATATTTTTCTATCTTTATTGGAAGTTTTAATTTGTTTATGGCTTTTATAATTGATTTTATGTTTTAGATAAAAATTATATATGATCAGGGTGGCCAGCAACCTGGAAAAGCCAAGGAAATTCTATATTATGTTAAAAGTCCAGGAAAAGTCAGGAATTTAATAAATTTTGCAAAAGTCATGGAAAATTCAGGGAATTTTGATCAATTTAACAATATATTTTTGCTTATTGGATACTAAGAATCAATTTATTTTTTTATTTCATGTTTTATTTTATTTTTTTGTATAAAAATGTTTAATTATTTAAAGTAAACAGTTTTTAAGAGAACTTTTATTATTTGGATAAAGTTGTATGAGTTTTATTTATTGCTTTTTTATTGCTGCAATTTTAAATTTATATCGGTAAGTCAGGGAAATTTTATTTTAGCCAAGAAAAGTCAGGGAAAATGATACCAAAAATTGTCTGGCCACCCTGATGATGAATATTTTTATAATAATATTTTAAATTCTTTTTATTTGTTTATGCAGTTCAATCAAACCTTGTTTTCACAACTATTAGATATTTTACTTTTTCTTAACTATCAGATCTTTTACTATTGGTGTTATGTTTTAGCAAAACTGTCAAACATGCTTTAAAAGCAGAATTGACGAACAAGTTTGTGCTTCTGATGGAGTTACATATGAGTCATTTTGTATGATAAAGAGAACATCTTGTTTATTAAACAAAGAAATAAAGTTCGAGTGCAATGGCAAATGTCCATGTGGTAAAATTATTTTTCTAGAACAAATAATATATAATTTTTTGTTTTTTCTGAGCTATTATTTATTGGTTAAGTATTAAAAAGTAATTGAAAATATTAGCTATACTTTTTCTAGTATTCATCAAGGTATTATTTTTTGCAACTTAACATTCATTATTTCTTAGACTGTTTGCATAATATCATTTTTTTTTTAAACAAAAATGTCATTAGAGAATATTTAAAACTCTTTTACAACTGAGTGCTTTTTCAAATATTTATTTATTTTACAGAACAAGCAATTTTTTCAATTGTGAAACTATTACTAGGAAAATTATTATGTAAGGTTTTTTAGCTTCTTCTATAAATACTTTTAAGTAGAGATTTTGTATCAAAAATTTCCTTCTCCTAGTTAAATTGTTTTTATCATGGCTAAGAATTCTTACCTGCAATATGACAGGAGAAATATTATATTATTGTTTGTTGTTATGAAAATCTATCCAGTATAAAATTATCAGTTTTATACTCTGTATATCACATTGATACATGTCTATTAGATATGTTGGAAAACTTATTTTATTATTTTTCAAACTATCCATCTTCTCAAGACCAAAGAACTTATTAAAGTTAAGTATGCTACTCTTTGTTTTATTATTTTTATTTGTTGTTAGAGATCTCACACAATCCTAATATTCATTTGTTGTTAGAGATCTCCCACAATCCTAATATTCATTTGTTGTTGGAGCTCTCCCACAATCCTAATATTCATTTGTTGTTAGAGATCTCCCACAATCCTAATATTCCTTTATTGTTAGAGCAATAACAGTTCAATAACAGAGTTTTTAAGCCTTGAAAACTCAAAATCTTGCTGTTGCTTTAGAAGGACTATTAATTTTAAACCTCCAGACAAAATAAATTATTTTTGAAATCTGGCCTGATATTTTCAGTCAACAGCTTATTTCAAGTGTCTCAGTTGGATATATATCTAAGTCATTTGAACAAAATAAAATATAAATTAAAGTTGTATTTATTTAAAGTCCTTTATTCTATCTTCACTTGCATTCTGTTATTCCAACATTTTGTTTAGTGATGTATGATTAATCGGCATCAGTTTCTGCTTAATCAGAAAATTTTTGCTGTATTGTTATTGGTAATGTTTTTTTTTTTATTGACTTACTGATTTTCTAAGCGATTGTTTTTTTTGAAAAACAATTAATCCTGAAAATAGTTGTATAATAAACAAAACAAAATAAATTATATATAAAAAATATATATAATTTAGGTATACCTTTTGTTTTTGAAACAAAGTTATACAGTTTAATATATATTTTTAATAGCAAATTTACTTCAAAAAAGTGTCAATCAATATTATGTAAGTTGGTAGTTAACAGAAAGCAAAAAAAAGAAAGTTAAGTAACAAAAAAACATTTGAAAGAAGACTTTCAAAACTGTAAACTGCATGATTGCAGAAAACAAGACTTCTAAAGTATTTTGTTTCAAGTGAAAAACTACTCAAAAAAACTTTTATAAAAGTTTTTTTTTGAGCATGGTGGAACAGTTACAGTGAAAGGATGCAACTAAATGATGAGTCATGTGAGATGAAGTGAAGATAGAACAAAAGTTTGGCGTTGGGATAAATTTAGTTTTTTGAATTAAACAAGAGATGTATAAGAGAAGCACATTGATTGAACACTGACCATGGTAATAGCTATAGAAAATAGAAAAAGATGCAGCCATATGAAAAATGGGACAGAAACACAAGCTTGGAAGCCAGAGCTGGTCTAACTACATTTACAATGTGTTTTTGGATTATGTCTGAAATAGAAAATGGGCGTAATTAAAAGGACCAGCCCAAATATGACAACAGTATTTCATATTAGGATAAATAAGAGATTTATCAAACTATAGAATGGAAGTAAGAAAACGGGAGTACCATGCTATTTTAGAAGAGAAAACACATTCAAGATCAACTCCTTTTTTAAAGCAATTAAAATCTCATAAAATTTTTGGCTAAAGTATATGCTTGTCTTACTGATTACTGACTTGACCTTGATCCTGACCTGACCTGAAATATTTAGTTTTATATTGATTATTCTTATAATTGGTTATTCTGTATTAGCCTTTTTTTGTCCATCAATATCAGCATCAGCCAAAAATTAGTGATGTAAGGATTGTACATTACAGGGTTGCCACTCAACCTGGAATACCTGGAAACAGCATGAATCCCTAGGAAAACCTGGAAAACTCAGGGATTTTTTTCAAATTTTTATAAAAATCAGAGAAAACTCAGGGAAAATGATTTTTTTTTTCCGAAATTTTGTACAATAATTTTTTTTTTCAAAAATATTTTGCTAATACATGTAATTATAAGTCTGCAAGATGAAGGTGTTGTTGTAAAAAGTTTAGTTTGTCATATATAAAGATTGTGTTTAAGTAAGGAAAATAATCTTGTTGATGAATCGGAGAGAATATAGAAAAGTCAGGGAAAAGTCAGGGAATTTAAAAAATTAAACTCAGGGAAGAATGTACTTTACTCAGGGAAAACTCAGGGAAAAACTTTTAAAATTCTAGTGGCAACTCTGCATCACTAATTTTATTCCGACTATCGATTTCTTTAATATATTTTTATAAAGCATGTTTTATTTATTAAGAAAATTACCTTATAAAATATAGTAAACAAAAAAAATAAAATTTTTACCTCCTAAAAAATGTTACCTGCCATATTTTTTCAGTAACTTATATAAGATTATTTAAAATAGTTTGAACAATTATTTAAATTGTTAGTGAGCAATTTAAAATAATAATTTATTTATTACAATATTACCTTATAAAAGTTAGTGAATAAAATGGAACATTTTTAGGAGGTGAAAATGGTTAATTTGTTATTTTCCTTTTATGCAAGATCCAAGTGAAATTCTTAAACTGGATCCATCTACATTACACAAACTAAAAGATATGCGTACTAATTATCAACTTGATGAACATCTCAAGCGAGAAAAATACGAACATGAAGGAATTGTAAGTATTTTTGTTCTTTTCTCTAAAGAAATGTTATAATATAATTATTTGTTTATATGTATAAATAAATATTTAGGTAAAGTTCAACAAAAGTAACAGGGTTAATTAAATACTGCAAAATATTATATCCATTTAATCTTAAATTTATGTACTTAAATAATTTATATAGTTACAATGTAGTAATTTATACAACTATAATGTAATAATTTATTTAGCTACACTATAATAATTTATACAACTATAATGTAATAATATATTTAGCTACACTATAATAATTTATACAACTACAATGTAATAATTTATGTAACTATAATGTAATAATTTATACAACTACAATGAAATAATTTATTTAACTACAATTTAATAATCTAAGTAACTACATAAAGTCATAATTTATATAATGACTATGTTTGTATTTCTAGCAAAATTTTAAAAACAAAATTTTAAAAACAATTTTGACTTTTCTTTTCCAGCTATTTTTTGATCTTTTTATCAATCTTGTCTTAGTCTAGATTTAATAGTCAAATTGGCAGGGTTGACTAGCTGGGGCTTAAAAAAATATTTTTTTTATTTTTTTACATTTTAATAGTATTTAACTGGTTTAAAGTGAATGCAGAAAATATTTTATTTATAAAAATTTTTAATTTGAAGGATATTTAATAATTTTTATTTCAAAAAACCTAAAATGTTGAGCTTACATTTGATTTAAAAATGTAGAGCTTACATTCTATTTAAGTCACAAAATCTTAAAATTTGTTATGTTGTCCTAAAATTTGTTTTGAAATAATGTAATTTGATTTAACTAACTTCAGCATTTTCATAACTTTTTCTTTTTGATTTTGAAAAATCAAATTAAGGTGTTAAGTAAATGCTTAAACATTTGGTTGGTATTTTTTTCTCTCCTTTCTGTCTAAATGATCTTAAATATGCAAAAACAATCTTTTTAAATGATTTTAAATATGCAAAAACAACCCTTTTAAATGATTTTAAATATGCCAAAACAACCTTTTTTAATGATCTTAAATATGCGAAAACAACCTCTTTAAATGATTTTAAATATGCAAAAACAACCTTTTTAAATATTGGTCTTGAAATCTGAAAATTTTTTATTTTATTTTCATAATCTTGAATCTTGAAATTATAAATAATGTAATGTGGTACTTCTAAACAATAAAATAAATCGAGAGTTAAGATAAACAACCTGGTAAATTTACTATTTGACCAAAAATTATGAAAATAGAATAAAAAAACTTTCAGATTGTCAAATGTCAAACAAATTTAAATAATTTTTACAATTAAGAGAATTTGTTCAAACTTTTTTTATATTACTTCTATTATTTTCATATTGGTTAAGTTGTATTTTATGTATGTAAACTAAAAAAGTTTTGGTATATTGCATATATTGCGTACTAATTAAATTTATACTAATGAGTAAAATTGTAAATATGGCAATGTTTTATAATTAATTATTAAAAAAATTTCAAATGAAAATATAAAACTAAAAGTTTAATAAGTTATTAAAAATTGTTATTCTCTTAAACTAAAAATTCTCTTGATATTCTTTTAAACTAAAAATTCTCTTGATATTCTTTTAAACTAAAAATTCTTTTGATATTCTTTTAAACTAAAAAATCTCTTGATATTCTTTTAAACTAAAAATTCTCTTAATATTCTTTTAAACTAAAAATTCTCTTGATATTCTTTTAAACTAAAAATTCTCTTGATATTCTTTTAAACTAAAAATTCTTTTGATATTCTTTTAAACTAAAAATTCTCTTGATATTCTTTTAAACTAAAAATTCTTTTGATATTCTTTTAAACTAAAAATTCTCTTGATATTCTTTTAAACTAAAAATTCTCTTGATATTCTTTTAAACTAAAAGTTCTCTTGATATTCTTTTAAACTAAAAATTCTCTTAAACTAAAAATTATAATTCTCTTTAACTAAAAAATTAATTCTTTTTTAACTAAGGGCATTTAGAAAGATCAATTTCTCAGAATTCTTTTTTAACCAAGGACATTTAGAATGATCTAATGTCATTATCAGAAAACTCTCAATCTTCATTCAAAGAAAACATTTAGCAATAAGTTACAAAAGTTGTGCTTAATCTTTCTGATAAAACAAAAGCTCTAGGTATTTTTGTAATTTGCACATTTTTTTATGCAACTACCAACAAATATTACATAAAAACTTTCCTCAACCAAATCCAACTCTTGTTCCAAAAAAACTACTGCCTGATCAAACAAATATATCTATAGGCTACCAATGTAATATCTATAGGCTACTTATGTATAAAGTTCAATGGAAACAATTACAGGCATCTTATAAACAAAGTTGGATTTTTAAAAGATTGCTTGAAAATATCAAAATTGAGTTTGAATGTTAAAGGTTTTTTTATTGTGTTTAAGATTTAATGCAGCCAGACAGTCATGCTTTGTGAATGTTTTAACAGATAAAATAAAACATTTCTACTTGTTGATTGTTGAAAATTCAAAAAGTCAAAATCATGATCTTTAATTATGCTGAAAACTCTTAAACCTTAAATAGTTTGGACCATAAGGTTCTGATGTTAATTTAACCTGTAAGAGTTATATATAGAATAATATTTTTAAAACTATATGCATATTTGTTTAGAATGAAAATAATGAAGCAAGAAATATTATGCAAGAATTCGTTCAACAAGATACTATTAATAAGATTGCATTAAGTCCTAAAGGTATTTAGGTTGTTTTATTCTCCAAATTTAATTTTTGTTTTATGCTTTATGTTATTTAAAAAGCATGTTTGAAAACGAAAAATTGTTTTGATGTGTTTAATATTTTAAGAAAATTTTAAGAAAAATTTGTTCAGATGTGTTAAATATTTTACATTCAGAAAAATGCCCCAAAAGTAAGCTGATGGAGTTACCTCATCAGCTTATTGAATGGTTTCACATAATGAAGAGTAACGGAAAAGAGAGAATAATTCGTGAAAATGGTACAAAAAATGATGAAGCTTTAAAAGAATTAGATTTTATTCAAGCCAAATTAAACTCTATATGTAAGTATTTAAAAAAAATTTTTTTATTAACTTATATTTTTTATTATAATAGATCAATACAGAAATTTTGAACTGTATTGGTGAGTAAAACATAAGTTTTGTTTTTCAACTTAGCTACCAATAAATTTAAAATAAATTTATTGGTTGTGAAGGAATAAAATAATCATAGAGACTCAAAATTTTAATTTTTGATTTGCATGAACAGTATTGATTTTATGCCTTGAAGCCTCAATGAATCAAAAAAAGATGATCACACAGGGTTTACACTGAGTAAGCCTGAAATATGATAGCTTTAAAAAAAAATTGGAGATTTCTGCTTAGTTTATACAACTTCTGTAGTTATTTTTTCTTGATTTTAAAATTTGTAGAGTTTTAAAATTAAGAAAAAATAACTGCTGTTTTGTGTTTTCCACACAATATGTATGTTAAAAAAACTAGTGAGTATTTGAAACCTAGATGTTTAAACAAAGTATAAATTCAAAACTAAAGAAAATGTTTTTTCAAATACTCTCAGGGAAATACATTATTTACTTTTTTCGAGCCAACCCTGCGTTGATCATAAATCCTAAAATGAAGTTCTGGGTTAAGAATTATTATTTTTACATGAATTTAGGACTCAAAGAGTTTATTAATTTTTTTGGACTTTAAGTTACACAGTATTACACAGTATATAAATAATATGAGATTTTTTACTTTTTTGTATTATTGTCATGTGTTTTTAGTCATACTCTCTATAGCTCTTTTTAGAACATCCCTGGTAGGTGGTATCATCCTAGTTATCCCACTCTGCTGAAACTGATGAGATATTTTTTAAATAATTTGATCATAATCAGTTGTTCATTATCTGCACTCTTTTTTTAAAAAAAAGTTTTCTATTTATTTCAAAGTTTATATGTTGAAGTAAGGTCTTACTCAATAGGTCAGAGATATAAATTGACTTAAATAAAGATGACTTGGATAAAAGTGCTCCAAAACAAGCATTTTACTAACTTATTTGTTTTAATTTGTTATTTGTTATTTTTTATATAAATTTCTTTATTTTTAGACAGTTCTCTCAGTTGTTCTCCTCAGAAGCAGCAAGATAACCAAGACTGCTTGCTTCCAGTGCAATGGATGTTTAATCACTTAGATATCAATAGCAACATGGAGCTTTCTTCTAAAGAATTGGAGGAAATACTAATTATGGATAATGAAGAATGTATAAAATCTTTTTTGCATAAGTGTGATAATAACAGTGATGGCTTGGTTGTTATGAAAGAATTCTGCAGATGCCTTTGTTATAGTAATGAAATTTATATATCTATATCATAAAGTTTATATATATATATATATATATATATATATATATATATATATATATATATATATATATATATATATATGCACACACACTTATAATAAAAAACTAATAACATAATAACTAAAAAAAAAAAAAATTATAAATAAAATTAGAATAAGATTCTAAATTTTTAGATGCAAAATCTTTTTAGATATTTTTTTTTTCAAGTAATAGATGAAATTGAAACTCTATTTATTGCTTCTTTTTATCAATATCCTGGTAAATTCATAGGTTAATGATGCTGTGTCTGATGTGTAGGTCACATAATGTGAATATTTTTTTTTATACAATAGTTCTTGAGATTATTTGAGTTTTGATAACAGGTTATATTTATGTTTTTAGCTCCACCTTGTACCAGCGCAATGATGGCTGTACCTATCATTTTAGTGAGAGGAGAACCTAAGCCTGTACCTGGTTTCTATGTTCCTCGTTGTGATGAAGATGGATTTTTTTTGCCTAAACAATGCAACGAGTCACAAAAACAATGTTGGTGTGCAAATCGAAACGGTACTGAGTATCCTGGAACAAGGGGTACAATGGATACAGATGATTTTAATTGTGGTTAGTGTGAAAGAATTTTTAATACTAATTTAATATATATTTCCTTAATACTTTTTTTTTAAATTTGTAATTGTAATAGATTCAATGTTTATATTACTTTTAAAATTTTTTTTGTAACAATGTTTATATTACTTTTAAATTTTTTTTTGTAAGTTAGTAATAGTAATAGAGGGAAATCAGTTTCTACAATTAGTTTTCTTCTTTTCTTTTTTTTTTGTTATTCTCCTCGTCAAGGCCAAGAAAACCACTACAATCGAGGAGGTTACTTTATTGTGGTTACAACCCTTAACTCTTTAACACAGAAATACAAACTTTAACGAACAAGGTTGCTGCTTAGAGAAACAAGTTAAGCACAGTACTACCAGGGATATGGTGGGGATTAAACTCAAAACATCTTGCCTATGAAGCAAATGCTTTACCACTTTTTTTTTTAATTAGGTATAATAACTTATTGTTTGACTAATTTGAATATTTTAATGAGAACTAAAGAAAAAGAAAAAAAAATTTAATATTTTTTAAAAAGAATTTTAAAAATGAAAGCATAAAAATTAATCTGAATAAAAAAAGAATTTTTAATGTTTTTTTTTTTTTTTTTTTTTATCACTATTATGACTTCATAGTTTTGTTCTTCACGCAGAAAATAAGTGATTCATACTTTTGTAAAAAATAAGTGTTTCATAGTTTTGTGAACTATTATGGAAAACAAGTTTTTAGCTATTTTTACAGAGCTGAATATAAAGTAGCAAGACATACTTTTAAAAGTATGTGTCTTGCTTTTGTTATCCACATATTTTATATTTTATACTCACCTACTTATATTTTTAGAGTTTTTTTTACTGTAACATAGTATAAAATAACTTTTTTTAAATATATTTTAATATCTTAAGATTTTATATCTTTTATTTTAGATGATTATATTCATGACAAGAAAACAAAAAGTTTGGTTCATTAAAACATATCACATAAAATCTTGTTTTGGTTCATCGATTTTTATGTTGCTTCATTGAATTAAATCCAACTTGAATTATTATTTTAAAATTACAATCAAACGTTTAAAATAACAATGGTTTTTTTAAGCATTTCAATATGCTACAGTTCTATATATAACTGTAATCCTTTTATATAAGGTGTATTAATTGTATTGTACAATTTGATTTTATATAGATTTTCTATATATATTTTTTTTTACTATGCTTTTTTTTTTCTCCCTCTTTTTATATATACACACACACACACACACACACACACACACACACACACACACACACACACACACACACACACAAACACACACATAGATATATATATATATATATATGTATGTATGTATGTATGTATGTATGTATGTATGTATGTATGTATGTATGTATGTATGTATGTATGTATGTATGTATGTATGTATGTATGTATGTATGTATATATATATATATACACACATTTACACACACATGAATACACACATGCACAAGTGCATTTATATGAATATATAATTATTATTTTATCATCATTGATATTATTGTTATTATTATTGTGTGATTTAATATTTATTTTATTAGTTTATTTAAACCTGTTGTAAAATTTATTTAAACTTGTTGTAAAATGTTTCATCTTTAAATATTGTAAAGATTTTTTTTAAGTCATTTTTTTTGTAATTTAGAAAAAATATTTTCCTCAAATTCTTTTGTCTTTTTTGTGCCTAATAATTTTTAGTGTACCAATGTTTTAATTCATTACAATCAATTTAGCAACTTGTTCTAAACAACATTAGTAAGGAAGGAGGCATAAACTTTCTGGTTATATTCTCCTTTGTGATGCTCTGTAATAAGACAGTTAGGTCTTATTGGAGCATATTAATATCTACTAAAAAAAAAGAAAAGAAATAAAGGGCCAACCTTAGTCAACATGACAAACATCAGATGGAGTAATAAGCCAAGTATTTACAATGTATTCTTTAAAACTCTATTATTTAAAACAATTTTGTTATATTTAACAGGTTTGCAGGGATCTTTTACATTTGGAAATATTTGTTACATAGGGCGAATTGCCAGGATATCCATAATACTTTCCATATACTTTCCTCAACATTTAATAAACATTTCAAAAAAGTTAATAAACAAAGTTAAAATTTTTTAAAGAATTTTTTAACTATATTTCAAATTTTATTTAAAATATAAAAGTCTTTTATATTTAAAAGTTCTGAGATATTAATGCTTGATTTTTTTTTAAGTTTAAAAAAAATCAAGCAAAATTAAAATATATTGTAATTAAATATAAAATTATAATATATAATATTATGTACATATAATGTTATGTATATATCTTATCTGTAGATTCTAGAGGTTTAATGAACTCTGTTTTTTTTAATTTTTTTTTTTAAAAAAATTAAAGTTGTGTTAATATTATATATTATTTATATCTTATTAATACTTGAATTATTAAATTTGTCAATAGAAATTTTAATTATAAATGAAATCAAGTCATAATTTTTAATCATTAATTTTTTGTAACCATATTTTTATTTTGAAACCATGTTTTTATTTTGCAGCCATATTTTTTTCTAGTTTTACTTGGAGGTAAACACAGGTTATTGCAGTAATGAGTAGAAGGTAAAAATTATTAACAAATAATCTTTTGAGGGAAATATAATCTATGTGAAAGCAACAAAGTTGTACACTGGAATTTTATTTGAAAATAAGTGTAGTAGTTTACACATTCATATGAAAGCAATTTGATTTTATGTCTTTGCAATTTTGTTGTAGAAGTGTTTTCTTATTTTCTTTTTAAACCTTTTTTTTTTTGTTTGTTTTTAAATTTGTTAATACTTTAATATCAATTTAGTTCGAGTTCATTGTATATGATGTCAGATGACTCTCAATCTGATGTTGAAGAAATTGAGCATGACAAGGTGTTTATATTTTATTCTGATAGTGTTTTGATGATCCATTTACCATTATTCAAAATAATTTGTCAATCTAATCTAAAATTTAAATTCTAAAATAATTAAACAGCATATATATATATATATTATATATATATATATATATATATATATATATATATATATATATATATATATATATATATATATATATATATATATTTGAGAAAACTGAATAAACCTTTGCCTTATTTTTATTTTTATTCAAAAAGATTTTATTTTCTGTATATGAATTTTTTATTACCCCAGTTATTATGGAACACACTTGATTAATGACATAAAAAAAAGTCATTAAAGTTGTTTGATTTCACGTTTTAGCATAATTTAAATAAAATAAAAGATAAGTGTGTTTTATAATGTTATTTACTAAAGCCACCAAGAAATTAATATTTACATACACTCCTATATATAAGGAACTAGTTTTAGAAGTATATACTATCTTCAAATAAATCTCTTTAGTCTGAGATAAGCAATAGGCAAATTGAGGCCACTGCGTCTTGAAGTCTAACATTTTTGGCGACTTAACTTTTTATACTGCAAATTTATCATCTTTGCATGATGTTTTAATAAGGTTACATACTTGATTTACTGTGTACAGTTGTGTCGGTATAATTCTTGCTTTATACTAAAATCCCTATCCACATGATAAGAAGAAGTGCCCTCTTATTGGGTAGAATTGCTCAATCTTTTTAAATTTCTTCAAATCAGTCATAGCTAAGAGTACTCTAGATGATAAATGGATTTTACTTTGGCTTAACAATTATCTGAGAATAAGTGGAGTTTAGTAAACTGCTGCTCTACCTTCATTAAATAGTTAAATATAAGGGAACACTATACATCTAGACCCTTGCCTGTTGTGCTGTTGTGCCTTGGTGGTAAATAAAAACATGTGCTTTGTTACTTTCAATGTTGTGAACACAAAAAACATTAACTGTAAGTTACCTCAGATAGAGGGTTTCTTGCACTGGTACTTTTGAGATCTGTATGTTCTGCATAAAGTTGAAACACAATGCTAAAATTTGACTATTGTTCTTGTCATTGGTGTCTTTTCGGATTCAATTATAAAACTTTTAGCATTTATGTACATCAAGTTTAGATTGAGCACTCTTTGCTGCCTTATTGAGTTTAAGACTCCTTAACTTTAAATTGAGTTCTTTGCGAGTGCAGCTCAATGCGAACTTGCAGCTCAATGTCAACTTGCAGCCAATAGAAATTTTGTTTGAAGTAGTTATAAAACTTTGTTTCGCCAACTTTTATTGAAAATAAATTTTATTGTTTTTCTTTTAACAGTCTATACATAGTTTTAACATTTAAAGTGGATAGAATATAAAGATCACCTATATGCATCTAGATAGAATATAGGCTTTCCAAGATAGTGGATTTACTTTATTAGAAAGCATTGATTGTGCTGTCTGAGAAAAGGTTGGTTTCTTCAGACAATTCTTGTTATACGTGATGCCCTCTTTTATCCTCTGTGTTTTTCCTAATCATTTTCAAAGCTCGCAATCTTTAACTTTGTTTTTGTGTAACAGCATGTAAACTTAAAAAAGCTTTAAAACATACCTACATTTGATCAGAACCAACCATAATGTTTAAAAACATGTTTTTTAAAACAAATCTTGTTCATCTTTAGTGTTAAAGGTTTGGAAATGGTTTAATATATCTATCTTTGTTAATATTCTCAAAATATTAACAAAGATGGATATATTAAACCATTATTAACGATGATTATAATAATATATTAAACCAAATATTACCCATCCTCTTTGTTAATATTCTCAAAACAGTTGTTCCTCTTGCAGCTTTAAAAATACTTTTATAGAGCGTATTATTAAAAATTTTATCTGTAAAAATGAAATTGTATAACTATTAGTAACAATGAATAAATTGCATCATTGCCAAACACAGCAGACAAAACATATATAAGTTCAACAGAGAACCTGTGGAAAATTAGAAGGACATATTCAAAATACCTATGGGATACAAAGGATAAGTTAAATACAACACCCAATTTAACATGGTCTGTCATAAAAAGCGCCCTTGCTTACAACAACATAACTAAAAAATGCCTAATATATTAATTTGAAAAACTAATGATTTTGTTGTATAAAAATATTGTATAAAAGAATTATTAAACAAAAAAAGTGAACTAATATCCAAGTGTCCACATGAGAACAAATTTTTGCTGGGTAACCACAAACTAAAAGATAAGATTTTTCTAGCGCATTTTTTTCTTGTATATATACATATATATGTATATATATATACATATATATATGTATATATATATACATCCATACATACATACATACATACATACATACATGCATACATACATACATACATACATACATACATACACATATATATATATATATATATATATATATATATATATATATATATATATATATATATATATATATATATATATACATACATACATACATATATACATACAGAAAAATTAGTTCAAAATTGCAAGCTTATATAATGTGTTTTAAGGACAGCTCATTTTTGTTTTTAAGAAATATGGTAGCTATGAAATCACCCCAAAATATTTGCAAATATCTAAACATCTCAAAATAGCAAAGGTAAAGACTTTAAATTTTTCTTAAACAGTTAACAATTATTTTTGTACTCACCTTCTTTACTTGTTTATTTTGATTACTTTTTTTCTCACTATTAGTTATCAAACGAAACAAATACAATAAATGCTCTATACAAGTTGGAAGCTTTGATAGTTGGTGATAAAGAGAAAATATGCGTTCTTCGTTTAGGGGGTGTGCATTTACTTGTAAATCTTATAAAGACAGATTACCAAAGATCAGTGGTATGTGAAATTTGTGTTACTTTGCAAGTGTTTATTTCAGTTCAAGTTAGCAAAGAAAAATTTAATTTAATAATTTAGATTTTTTAGTACTTTTTATGCATATTTTTGTGTCAGTTAACATATTTGTTGTGAAATCTAGGTTTAAATCCTTAAACTATATTTTTATTGTGCTTTTGCTTTTTGATGGATAAAGAGAATGCTCTTGCATTCTCTTTATCCATCAGCCAATGTTGTTGCTGTTGGTGACAACAATACATCACACTAAATGGCTTTTCTTTGTTACCAATGATCATGCTTGCACTAAAACTCAAAATTGTATTTCTCAATCTCTTACTCACACAAATAACTTTTTGACTTGTTTTCTAGACAACCTTAGTCACTTACCCTTGTTTCTTGATTTGTGTTTTGTCTCTGATCCTAGCTAGTGTCTAGTTTATCCTTGTTCCACTTTAGATGTTTAAGACCATGCTAAAATTTTATTGTACTTTTTCTACGCCAGGTTTACCCAACCATTGCACTTTTTAATACTACCTAAAGGCTGACTAGGATTCCTTTTGTGGTTATTTTCATGATGGTCATTGGGCTGATTTTTATTTATCTCTGCCTAAAATTGTGCTTCCTACATAATCTCCTGGATTCAGCCAGACATGGAAGCTTTTATTTCTTCTCATTGGTTTCAAGTCAAAAATCACTCTTTCTATGGTTTCTCATTCTGCAGCTGCTGTTTCTAATTTTTCTAATTCATTCACAAGAATGACTACATTTCTAAATTTATAATTATTTTTTTAAAGCTATAGGCCACACTTTCATCACAGAGAATCAAGTTACTCCATTGTTAAACATCTAAGTTACTCTTCTTTTTTTTTTCTTTACTTAAATCTTCTAAAGCTTGTGATTTGACTTTATATCACAGTCATACAGAAGTCCCAAACTCTCTTGTAATTTGCCTCTTGTCACAGTCTTACAGAAGTCACAAACTCTCTTCTATTCTCTAAACTACTTAACAAATGCTTAGCTGAATCTTGTTTTCCTGTATGCTGGGAAATGTCTTTTATGCTTCTAATTTTTAAAAACTCTAGATTTTGGTCTGAAATCTCTAACTATTGACCAGTCTTTACTTTCAATTACAAGGTCTTTTAATCTTTAATTAACTCTACCGCTGAACAAACTCTACCGCTGACTTGTTGCTGACTTTCTGACAATCAATACAAACTCTACTGCTGACTTGTTAATTGCTAGAAAAGAATAATTTTATCTTACATCAGATGGAGGTGGAATAGTGAGTGCTATTGCTTTTGACATATCAAAGGTGCTAATCTTCTCTATAAACTTTCCACATATGGTGCATTAGAAAAAGTTTTTGAAATTATCGAATCTTTTCCATCATCTCACTTTTGTGACAGTTTGGGACACGCTGCAGCTGGTGAGAATTTGAACAAAATCTGGAAGAAGTTGTTTACTATTATTTATTATTGCTATATCAGGCTTGGGCAAGAATGGGATGCGATCGCATGCTGTAACTGACCGCGCTTAGAATTGTTTTTTTTTACAATTTGACCACAACTGTTTTGATGTTTTAATAATTTAAATGTAATAAAAAATTTGTTACATTAAGAATAACTTTTAATCGCTGATATTTTTTAAAGTTTTACTTTACACAAAGGCTTTAAATAAAATAAAAATTAATTATAATGATTGTTTAAAATAAATGCATTTTTTTATATTTTAATGTATTTTTTTATTTATTCTTTATCATAACAATTTTTTATTTTCAACTTTTTGGAAAAAATATTTGTTTATACAATTTAAAAATATTATATATAACACTTTTTATTAATTATAATAAAATTTATTCATTAATTAAACAATCATTAGAAGTAATTGGTAAAAGCATTTTGCATAACTTTAATAAAACGTTTCAAAAGTTTTTAAATAATTTTAAATGCATTTAAAAATGAAACAAGTAGTTTTTGTTTTGAGTTTTATTTTAGTGCTTATATATATATTTTTTCATAAGGATTAGTTTTCAATAGTTTTTTCTTTTTTCTAAATTTTTTTCTTAACATTTTTTCTGCTAGTTTAAGTTTAGCTTTTCATTTCTTTTTTTCAGCACATTTCTGAGATGTTTAAGTCATCAAAACATTTGAACAGTTATGGTTTAAAAAAACAAAAATTATTTGAGTGGTCAGCAATAGCATTCGATCGCATGCTATTCCTGTCCAAGCCTTGAATATTGATGATATTTCTATATTGATGAATGACATCACACTTAACAAGTCCTCTATTTCTTTCACAGATCATATTTTACTACAGACTTCTTATGGAAACCATATATGCAATCTATTGCAAAGTTAGCATTTGCTAAGGTTTTCTCTCTGTAGTTTGCTTACCATAATGTTACTTTTAGTTCACTTTTTTTACCTCATAATTGGACTATAAAATTTTCAGGGTTTTTTTAGTGTTCTGTCAATTTCCTCCATTTTAACTCTCATTTTTGTTTTCGGTTCCAACTTAAATAGAGCTTAAATAGTTAAGTCCCAACTTAAATAGAGCTTGCTTGCAGTCTTGTTAGAAATGAGTTTAAAAAAACAAAAAATTTTGAAACACTTAAACAAGTTTAGTGTAGTATTACCAGGGCAAGGATCAAAACCTCTCACTTACAAATCAGGTTCGATTGCATTGTAACTCTATTTCAAAACTTTTTATTAACTCGTTTAACAAAAATTATTGTATTTTTATATTCCTTTAAAGTATAATTACAAAAGTTGCAACAATTTGAAAGTTATCTTGAGTTTCATGTTGAAATTTTAAGTAGTTTTTTATTTCATAACTATTTTATTCAATGTTTGTGTCAATATATTTTAGTTTATTTATTTAGATTACACTAAATATTTAATTACTTTAACAAAAGTTTATTTATAAGCATTCATAAATCATTTATAATTCAGACAACCTAAAGTTTTGACTCTGCTCTTCATTATAACAAAGTTTAGACTTCACTCTAAAAGTGTAGCTAAAAATAATATGAATATTTTAGTTAAGGGGAAAAGGAGCAGTAAAAAAAGGTAAAAAAAGTAAAATTTTCAAGTTAAAATACTTGTCAAACTAAAGTTTAAAACTTTAGTATATGATGTTCGAGCATTTAATAAGTTAGTAATAATATATTTGTTATTGTTTAAATATAAATAAACAAATTAAAACAGTAATCATTATTAATTATTTTAAAACTTTATTATAAAATAAAAATATATATTTTTTTAACTTTTTATTTTTTGAGTCAATGAGGAACATTTGTACAAGAATCTCATATTGTGATATAATTATATTTTTTATTTTTTGAGTCAAATAAGAACATTGTACAAGTATGTGATATAATTGTATGTGACATATTGAGTAGTGTATGTGACATATTGTGATATAATTGTATTTTTTTATTTTTTGGATCAAATAAGAACATTGGTACAAAAATGTTGTATTGTAAATTGTGCAGATTTTCTTAAAGAATCTTGAAAGCACAATTTTTATTCATTTGTTGTTATTTTTTTTCTAAAGATATTCTTAGTTTAATGTAGGAACAGCTACATTAGGTTGTTATTCAGTCTTATTATGCATACTCTACTTATCTGCTGAGTTGATAATGAATACTGTACTTATCGTGCTGAGTTTATAAAGACTGTATATGAGCTGGTGTTAAACGTTACTCCAGATTTTCACAGTTTTTATTGACACTAACCAACTGAGTTGATCATTTAAGTAGCAAGATGCATATTTTTCAAAGCATGTCACATGAAGCAAAAAAGTATAGACTTTTAAAGCATGTGATTTTTATTCAATTTTTTATTTTTTTATTTTGTTACAACTTCTTATAAGTCACATAAATATAGGATTTTGTTACAACTTCTTATAAGTCACATAAATATAGGATTTTGTTACAACTTCTTATAAGTCACATAAATATAGGATTTTGTTACAACTTCTTATAAGTCACATAAATATAGGATTTTGTTACAACTTCTTATAAGTCACATAAATATAGGATTTTGTTACAACTTCTTATAAGTCACATAAATATTTTGAAGTTGGAAAAGTTGAAAACTTTTTTTTGTGAGATGTCTGTAATAATAAACTTTGAAGTGAAAAACTTTGATTCTGAAATATGTATATTATGCAATTACAATATATGTGACCCATTGAATTGAAGTTGCAACAAAATTTTAAAAATTTTATATTTAATTTAAAAGAAATACTAACCGATTATTTTAATTTTTTTTCCCAAAGTTGAGGCGGATTTTCACTTACAGGAAATTGTCCGCTGAACAGAACAGAAAAGAAAATCATCCAATTACGTAACAGAAAAAATTTAAGATGCGCTATTTTTAATGTACATGATTGGAGAGTTTTCTATTCAATTCTGCATAATATTTTTTGTAAGAGAAATCAGTCTTTATTAGTAAATATGGGTGCCCTAGAGTATTAGTTATTATTGGTGCACCTAAAATTGAATTTAACTCAATTCCCCATTCTAAATAATCTTTGCATTTTAGTAATTTTAAGTATAATTTCTAAAAGAATATTCTTTTTGAAATTAGTATCTTACTTTTTTTTATATAAAAGTTTATTTTTTAAATATATATATATATATATATATATATATATATATATATATATATATATATATATATATATATATATATAAATATATATACATGTATATATATATATATATATATATATATATATATATATTCTTGTTTGATTTTGTTATAGATTGCTTCACTGAGAGTATTAAAGCTTTTATGCACTCATTATTTTATCATTGATGAAGTGATAAAATTAGAAGGTCAGAATTAAAAATAAAACTTTTCAAAGATTTTATATTATTTTTACTGTCTATCCTTTATTTGCTTGTTTATTTACATTAGTTGTATGACTTATTAAAAATTAATATTAATAAAATTATACTTGTTTTTTTAATGTCTTTCTTTAACGCACAGAGCCACATGATTTAATAAAAACTCATGTAGTGAAATAGACTAATTTACGGAATCAAAAAAAGTTTAATGAGCACATAGGTTCAATGGTTGTTTTAAATGGTGCACTGACAAGATTTTTTTTTATTTTGTTATAATATATATATATATATATATATATATATATATATATATATATATATATATATATATATATATATATATATATATATACCTTTGTGTCACATTTTTTTTGTATATATATATATATATTTATATATATATATATATATATATATATATATATATATATATATATATATATATATATATATATACTAATATTCAATAAAGAAAGATGAGATGTAAGATGTTTTAAGAAGAATTGTTTTATTATAGATTGGCATAAAATCTTCTGTTAGACAAGTAAATAATATTAAAGTTGTGCTCAAGTTCATTCCCATGAAATTAGTATTTTGATAATTTGATAGAAATCATTAAGGTTTAATGCAACAATTTAATGCAATAAGTCTCAACTAAAACCATACACATTTATTTAATAATCTATAAATACCTAGGTTGCTATAAAGACGCAAACAAAATATGATCAATTAGACAAAGAGCTCAACATCTTTTATGTTTACAGCAATGGCTCCAAGAAAAGTATTACCTTCATACATAATGCGCTTCTACATATGCTTGACTCATAATATGATGGTGGTCTAAAATATGCACAATACAGTTAATCAAAGTCTGGTTGGTTTGATAGTATATGTTCTTCTGATAGTTTATTACAGTTATACATCCATATTTTTAATCACTGAGAGATCCAAGTTTCTAATAGGCAACAACCTTTCTTCTCATCTAAATGCTGCTTTGTGTTTAGCATGATTTTCGTTTAGAGTTTTTTTTCACATGTTTTTATTGGCTGCTTTTGATCATTTGCTGTTAAACTTTTATATAATTTTTTTTTTTTTTTGACATTTTTACTTCCAACAAGGCTGCAAGCAACCATTATTAGTGTCAGAAGTTAGTGGAAGAGAAAAGATAAATTTTATAGTGCAAGATAACGATTAACAGACAACTTAAAAGATATGATTTAATTGCAAATTATATGATTCAGAAAAACTAGGTGAAGGAAGCGAATTCCAAAGAACAAAAAAAAAGAAAAAGAAAAAAAGTAAACAAATAAGAATTTTTGGAGCACTTAGAAACAGTCACAGTAAAAGGATAAGACTTAATGTTTTATCTGAGTTAAATTTCACTGTCCACTGAGAGCTCCATGCTGTAGCAGAAGTGTGATCCTTTTCATGCTCAAATTCCTCTTCTAAGCAATCAAAGAGTGTTGGTTTCTTATCAAGACAAGAATAAATGGTATTATTATCAGCGAATAATGCTACCTTATATGTGAGAATTTCTGAGATCGTTAATGTAAATTAAAAAGTATAGGGCCACTTTTATACTATGATTGATAAGGAAGGAATTTAATAATCTTAAAGATGTTACCTGATACACCATAAAAAGACAATAAAACCTATCAGTTATTACCATTAACAAATCAGAAGTAGAACGAGAAGATCGAAATCCAAATTGATGATCAGAAAGTTATTAGATTCAAGATGAGAGATAAGGTGTTTATTAATTAAAGACTCAAAAACCTTGCTTATGATAGGAAGACTAATGGGACGGTGAGGTGGTAGTTAAAAGGTGTGAGTGACTAATGGGATGGTAGTTAAAAGAGTAAGATCACTCTTCAGAATTTTTGAAAGTAGGGATAACAGATGTCGCTTTCCTTCAGAATGGAAAACACTACTCTGATAAGCACTTGTTAAATAGTTTTGAAAGTATAGACAATAGCTCCGGAGAAAACTTCTGCATGACTATAACAGGTATGTTGTCTGGACCACAAGCAATAGAAGAGTCTAAGCAACAAATTTTTTTGGATTTTGAAGTTCGAGTGATACGAAAGTCAGGCAATCGACTAACCTGTTTGTTGGCAATATCAGGTAGAACGCGATTAGTGGAATCAAGAGATGGTATAGATAAGAAGTTCTTAGCAAACAATTCAGCCTTGTCTTCAGATGAGGTGACCATGCGGATGCGGAGTCCTAAAAGGACTCCGGCTTTATATCTCCACTTTTTCCAAGTCTGTAGTGTCCAGAAGCTTTAAACATGTTTGTTGACTTATGATCTGCTATAAGAAAAAGATTCATGAGATTTAATGTCTTGAAACTTATTGTTTTTAAGCCCAGAGTCCTGGAGTCCCGGAGTCCTTGCCGCCATTATACCTAAGGACTACAGGTTCAAAAAATGATTGTTCCTCTAACCTAAAAGTCTTTATTTTTTTCCTATTAGTAGTCCATAAACTTATTTATATTTTTAGAGTTCTTGGATACCAAAAACTAAGATGAAGTAATCTTTTTGTGACTTTCAAATCCGGAGTCCTTTTTGGGACTCCGCATCCCTGGAAGGGACAAATTCTAAACAATACAAGAGAGAAGTGGAATAACAGATATGCCCTTACTATAGGTACTGTTAAAGATTCTTGAGAAGTAGTTGTAAGAGGTGCAATGATAGAGGGATTCTGATGATGAAAAAGAATGAGACAATACTTTTAGAGAGATCAAACCGTGATCATAATGCCTGCAGAGTCACTGACACTATAGTCATTCCAATATTGGCTGAAGGATTAATAGAGAGGGTTTGGTCAATTTGATAAAATAACATCCAAAAGAGTGCAGTCTTAAGATGAAGAAGAGCGATACAGAACAAAAAGAAAGGCGATAGAGTGAAGTGGTGCTAATCGAAAGCACATAAAAGAATAGTCTGGATTCAAACCTAATCTCCTGACAAATGGGTGAGTTCTTATGAATGTAAATACCCAGGCTAAGCATGTGACTATTGGAGTATTATTGAAAGAAGATAACCATCAACACTAAGATCACAAGATGAGACAGCTGAACTCAAATTAGTCTCACAAAGAGCAAGTAGGTCTGGTGAACTTTACAAGAGATAAGACTTAACAGAAAAGTTACTTCGAAGACCACGAATATTAGTGAATAATAGATTTAGAGAACTTGGTGATGACGATTTTTTATGGTGGCAACGATTTTTGGTGGTGACAATCATTTAGTGAGAACAATTTCATTTTCTTATGAACCAGTCAGGTAAATACAGTTTTTTACAAACTGATTAGCTGCAAACAGTTGCAATTTTTTGGTAACCAATTAGGTGCCAAACAAATTTTAGAAGTTTTCTTAGAAATATTTTATGATGCTTTTATAGTAATACTTTTAAAGTTTTATTTGACATGTTAGTTTGTCAATCTACTAAAATAGAAAATTATAAACATGTTGAGTATTTAAGCATCTCAAGTTGATGATCTCAAAAGGTGCTCTATCTCAAGAGATGCTTTATCTCAAAAGGTGCTCCATCTCAAGAGATGCTCTATCTCAAAAATCTTGAGATGGATAGCAGGTTGCCATTAAGAAATTCTTTTGACAGATTAAATGTCAATCTAATATTTGAAGCAGAAGAGAACAAAAGATTTTTCTTAGCTGTTATTTTGTCATACAAACTGCCATACTACCTGCCTCAAATCCTCAATCAATGTATATAATGAATCCTCCCTCATGAAACGATCTATTAAAAATAGATTTTTAAAACAATTTATTCTAAATTACTTTAGGATTGCAGTGTCTTGTTAAATTGGTTGGTATTTACTACAGAAATAGACTGAAAAACCTTGCTAACAAAACCTTGGTTATTTTAATTCTTGAAGTTCTTCAACTGATGTCTGTTTCCAGAAGAGCAAAAAGATTAATAAGAAGCTTCTTGGGCATACCTCATTTGGTATTTTTTATCTTTTAATAGAATAATCTTTGTTTATGCATATTGTCACTTTTAATTGTTTAATTTCTGATTTAAAAACAATAAAAGTAATATAGTAAGTAATTATTGGTTTTTAATTTTTTATTAGAGACCCAGATTTTTTTAAGGTCTCAGATGTAGCCAAATAAAATTGTTTAGTTTGATTTTAGGTACTTAGCTGCTGAGAATTTTAAAATAATGTCTTGTGAAATCTGTTGTTCTTGTATAGTTGTATGATTCATAAATTTAATTACTATTGTAAACATTACATTTCTTGTACAGAAAAAGTCAATAACTCAATAGATTTTTCTTCAACAAATAATTAAAGAGATTTATAAATTAAATATATTAAATAAAATAAAGATTTATAAAAATAACTTACTATAATTTATAATGATTACAGATATTTTTATATAAACAACTTATGTATCTCCATTTAAAACAGTGAATAGATTTTGAGATATTTTTAAGATTAACTCTATTTATAATATATAGTTTTAATGTGTAATTCAATTTTCCTTCTCTTAAATACTATTTTTTTCTTTATGTGGTTGTTATGTCTTTATTTGGTTTCCTTTTCATAGTTTGATCACTTTTTCTTCATTTAAATTAACTTTATTTGGTAACTTTTTCTTGTTTTGACTAGTCTTCAATTTATTTGTTGGTTTTGTCTTCGTATGAATTGACTTCTCTTCATTTTTCGCTTTGTTTTCATTTCATTTGCTTTCTCTTTATTTAGTTATTTCATTTTAGATGATAATAATAAAGAGCCAATTTAGTTAAAAAGAATTGATAAAAGTAAATCAGAATCTTTACTTAAATTATAAAAAAAAATCACCTTGTTTGATAACAAACTTACGCCTTATTTGATAACAAACTTACACCATGTTTGATAACAAACTTATACCTTATTTGATAATAAACTTACACCATATTTGATAACAAACTTACACCTTATTTGATAACAAAAATCTTTACAATATTTTTGTTACACAATTAAAGTTGAAAATTATTGTAAATAAATAAAATAATCATTGTTAAATATTTTATTACTATTCTTTTTATTGCTAATATTATTCATTATTATTCATACTTATGGTATATTCAACTTATCAACTTATGGTATATTCAATGCTCTCCATAAACTTTATATTTGATAACGTAACTACAGATAGCAACAATAGAATATAGCAAAACTTTTAGGTGAAAAAGGAATCAAATTTGTTTTTAGTCTAGCTTTGACATTATTTTGTTTTTTTTTTCTCTTTTTTTTTAAAAAAAAAAAGCTAATTCACTTGCAAGGTTGCAAGCAACAAGTTAGGAAGTTAGGAACAAAGAAATTTGTAAATGTAAAAAAAAAAAAAAACAGAGGACTTTATTAATGTAAATTGTTGGAAAGACGCAAAGATGGGAGAGAGTTCCAAGTTTCCCTGTGCGAGGAAAGAAACTAGATAAAATATAATAAGTTTTTAGAGAATGAAGGGACAGTAAAAGGATTCAACTCGTGTTGTCAACAAATAGAGCCACAATACAGGACAGAGGATCAAATCTTGTAAAACTTCAGACTGGAAATGAAGAAGAGTGTTGGCTTTTAAGGACGACTTTGATACTATGGTTAGAAAGGAATGATTTAATAATCTTAAAAACTTTCCCAGATATATCATAAGAAGAGAATTTATTTAGAGGAATTACTAAGATCAGACCCATGTATTTCTTTTTAAATAGTTCAGCTTTATCCTTGGAAGAAGTAATAAGATCACACCCGTGAATTAAAGATGAAATGATAGACTTGTTTTTTTAAATAACACTTTGAAAATAGACTTACTTTCTCTCACAAAGAGCAAGTCAGTCTAGTAAATTTTGCAGGAGGTAAAATTCAAGTGATGAAAAGTTACTTTTAAGATGATTATTCATAAAAGATGGATTAAAACATTTAGGTTGTGAAGATGGTTTTTTATTTTATTTGTTTTTTTATTTTAAATTACTTTAGTCATGTTGTAAGTTATAAGAGAATCATAGTTGGTGCATCTCAATCAATGAGCTACGCAGTTAGGGTTAATTAGCCCGACTGAGGCAGTTCTGCTAATTAACCCGCAATTGTAAGAAAGGGCTCTTTATGTAGCCTTGGCATACACAACAATAAAAACTAACAGGGATATCATTTATGCACAGCATTTCATTATTATTGCTTTGATATTTTACAGCTGTTGATGGGGTCAGCATCTCAGAGAGTTACCACAAAGTTTGGAAAACAATGACTTTTTGTGTTTAAAGAAAAAGAAACAAACTCACTTTAATGATTGGAAGAATATTTGTTATTAAAGTAGCCAAGTAACTAAAGTTTGTTTTCTGTTAAAGTACATAGTGTTATCACAAATATGCATATTAATACAGTCAGCTATATATAACATTCAGGTAAAGCTTTTTCATATGCTCTGTTGAAATGATTGTTTAAAGTATAATCAAGTTCTAATAACTAAATCATAAGATATATTTGTTAATCATTTTTATTGATTGATATTATTTATCTTCATTATTTGCCATCTTTAATTAATTGTGTTTGTTATTTTTAGTGATTTGCATTATTTATCTTTATTATTTGTCATCTTTAGTAATTTACTGAGCAGTCGAAGTCCTACAAGTTTATTAACTTTTTTTGAATTAAAAGTTTCTTTTTTTTTTTTTATTATTATTGTTGTGATATTTTAATAAAAATATAATATTTATAAAAATTAATTTTAATGGAGTGTTTTTCATTTAAAGAAGAAAAATAACTGTTTTATTATCCATTAATTTTTACTCAAATAATATATTTTTTCGCTCAAACAATCTTTGCCTAGTGAATTGGTTTACTTTTTTAAAAAATAATCCACTTCTAAAATGATATACCCATCAAATAAAAAAATATATGATTTTATTCGAAAAATGAAAGTCTAATTTGTTTTTTTGTTTGTTTGGGAGTGTATTAAAATGTGCTTAATACACTCACAAACAAATAAGTTTTGGCAACTTAGAATCCAAGCCATATTTTTTCAAGAGTTCTTGAACTCTGCAACTTGACACTATGTCATTATTGACAATGATGTCATCAATAAATGAATCCGTCCCAGACTCGACAACTTTGTCTAAGGATAATACCTTTTTTAAGATTTTTGTCAAAAAATCAAGAAATAAAAAACTGATATAAACTTTAAATAATGGTTAAGTTTTTAATTTTTTTGTTTTTACCTAAATAAATATATTTTTTTTATTAACTTAAGTTGCGTTATCTTTCTACTGATACATCTTTTTATTTTGAAAAATTATTGGAGCATGATTCCAGCATCAATTCGGTTTCATCTGACATCAGCAGAACATCTATGTCTGCACAAGGAAGAAAAAGAAGGTATAAACAAGTAAAAATAAAATAAAATGTTCAGATAAGTTTAAGTTTGAGCAAAAAAAAAAAAAATGATTTTAAAATTTGAATTTAGTATCACTGTATCATTGAATTCAAAAAGGTTTCAAGATATAGATGTAACTGATTTAAAAATGATTCAACTGGCTTCCAACATTTTATGGAGTTGTTCTGAAAGCAAAAGCAATGTTGCTTCTTTGCTTAGTTATGATTTTTTAAACATTGCAATAGAGCTGCTTCATCTTCAGATTTGTGAGATTGACCTCCCTATTATGGGCATAATAAACCAATGCTGTGTTGTGGTAAGTTAGTTTGTCCGATTTATCTTAAATAAAGTAAGACTAAACAAATTTTTTTTTTCTTTTACAAAAATAAAAATTAAATTACCTACGAAAGCATTAAATTTTATATTAGGAAGAGTTTTGCAACAAAGCAATTAAAAGTAATTTAATCTATCATTGTGTACGTTGTTTGAGACATAAAAACCACCATGTTATGCAATTGGTTTCTTTGCAAACAATTTGTAAGGTAGAGGTTTTTATTGTCAGAAATTTTTCTTTTTTTTTTTTCTCAACTTTTTGTTAAACTATAAATATTTATTAAATATTTTTTGAGAAACTTTTTTTTTTGTAAATGAATTCTTGTATTATATAAAATATAGTGTGTCAGAAATAGAGTTGAAATTAAGGACATGGTTAATAAACTTGGTGGTTTAAAAGTGTTTATGTGGATAATAGACATAAATGAGAATGGAAAATCAAGTCTACTTATTGCAACATTGCATACATTAGCACAATGTCTACAAGGTAGCACCAAAAACTGTACTTGGTGAGTTTTATGCTTTTTTGGTTGAAATTGAAAAGACTTCAAACTTAAAATGTTTGTCACATTTTATTAGTTATATATATATTGCATTTTTATTTTTTAATATCTTATTTTTATAGTGTTTTTAAATAATACTGATAGTGGTATTAATGATGTTAATTATATATATATATATATATATATATATATATATATATATATATATATATATATATATATATATATATATATATATATATTATATATATTTTATATATATATATATATATATATATATATATATATATATATATATATATCTTGTATTTTTAAGAGATTTTTTTTTAGCTTAGTTTTGTATAAGAATTTGAAACTTGAATAATAAAAAACATTAAAAAAAAACCTGTTTCCAATGAAAAACTGAAAAAAAAATAGTTTCAATGATGAGCATTTCTAGTCCTCACATACTTGTATCAATTTTCTGAAGAATTTATCTTGTAATGTAGTAAATATTGTCTGCTCTAATATGATATACATTGCTGACATTGACTCCTAAAAAATCAAATACATCATTATTGATGTCATAATAAAATATTCCAAAAACTTCTACTCAACTGTTTTTTTTTTTTTTTTTTTTGTATTAAAAATTTTATACCTCAAAGATTCATTTTGAGGTGTTTTATAAGCTACAAACAACTTTATTAGTGCAATGGTATTGTTGTTGTACTATTTTTTATTCCTAAAAAGAATGTTTGTAAAGAATAACTAGTAGTAAATATTTAAAAGATACAAGCAACATAATTAAGATAAAAAATTAAAAATCAAGCAATTAATTTAAAAAAATTAAATGTTTATATATATATATATATATATATATATATATATATATATATATATATATATATATATATATATATATATATATATAATTTTGATAAAATTTACTTCAAAAACTCATAAATTAAAATACATTTTGCTGAAAATTTTTTATAAATAAGAAAAAAAAAGCACAAATGTTTAGCTGTGAAAATGTCTATTTTTTATTTTTTTAAATCACTTTATAACAAAAGGTGACTTTCTGATGTTAACTAATCTTGACACTATCTACTATATCTACTATAGTGTATTCAGATATACATTTCCCAAGCAAAAATGTTGACTAATCAGTTTTTTCAGAAGAAAAAAAAAAGATTAAAATGATGAATAATAAAAAACACTTATTGCTGCTTCAACCCATACCCTCAGTTGATGTAACAGCAAATCCCTTGCATGTTCTCCCTAAATCAGTCAATATATGTGCTGAAGGCCTTACATAAATATTTATTTTGACTTTTTTTGCCCACCTCAATCCTTATAGTTTTTTTTGGAAAATGAAGAAAAAAATAAGCATCTTTATGATTTAATAGACTTAATCCATAATACTGAGAACAAACAACTGAATTCATGTTTTTAGGTAGTTTTTTTAAATTTTGCAAGAAAAGTTTTTTAAAGACTGAATACTGATAAAACATTTAAACAATTTGATAGTAAAAAAAAGATATTTTGATATTTTTTAGTTATGTAGTCAATATTATTGTCATTGTTAATTATATAATTATATAATGTAATTTTTATTCTTGCTTTTAAGCAAGAATAAAAATTACATTATATAATTATATAATTATATAATGTAATTTTCCCAAATTCTGTTATAGCTCTTAGCCACACTGAGAGCTACAACAGAATTTGGACAACCTTATTCGCAGCTGGCCTCAGAACTTTTTAGAGTTTTAAAGATGTACCCTCTTGTAGATTACAGAAAGAGTTGCTTAAGCTTCACAAAGAAACAAAAGCAAAAACTTATAAATTGAGTTTAGACTATTCAACATTCATTATCCTATATTGGATACAGGTTATATAAATCAGCCTTTTACTATATTACATATAATACAGTATGATCATCTTTCACTGCTTTAAAGCTTTTTTGGGCTAGTATCATACTTCTTAAAAAAAAGATGATTAGAAAATGTTTTATCATTATCATATCTTTTTTCTTACTTTTGTATCAGTAACTTTAAATTTTTTAAAATAAATTTTAAATACTGTTGAAAATTTTTTTCACATATTTATATTTATATATTTAGGTTTGATTCAGATGATAATTTGAGAAGAATTTTTGATCTAATTATTCTTAACAATAATAATAAGGTATTTCAACTTTTAATAATAATAATAATAATAATAGCAATAATTATAATAATAATAATAATAAGGTATTTTTAAAATTTATGGTAATTTAAATTTTTTTTATAAATATGGAACAATATGTAAGAATAGAAATAAAACAAATTAAATATATTAAACGCATCTTTTTTTACTCAGTGTTTGTGAGTTATTTGTGTTTGTATGTTGTTTACCTCTTGTTGCAATACCATTATGCATTATTGTTTTGATTGTTATATATATATATATATATATATATATATATATATATATATATATATATATATATATATATATATATACATATATATATATATATATATATATATAAATATATATATATATATATATATATATATATATATATATATGTATATATATATATATATATATATATATATATATATATATATATATATATATACATACACACACACACACATACACACACACACACATACATATTTATTTAGTTTCTATTTTTAAAGTCTGCTTAATATTTTTATGAAAGGTCATAGAGTGTTGTTTTGAAGTTCTTAAAGAGTTTTTGGATGTCTGCATTGAGAATTCTATTTCATTACTGAAAATTTCAGATATCTGTATTGAGAGCTTACGGCTAACATGCAAAAACGTGATTGTAGCAATTAATGAAGTTTTAATAGTAGGAATGAAAAATTTGGAATTTAAAAGGTTTAATAATCATTTATAAATATTAGTTTAAATTAAATTATTATTTTTTAAACATTTCTGATATACTTGTATGTTAAAATAGCTTTTTTTTTTTAATGAAAATATTCATAACAGTATATTTCTAGTATATTTTTTTTAGAAATGACATTTATAACAGCACATTCCTAGTATATTTGTTTTTTTGATCATTTTTGCTGATGAAGCCCTGGGGTGATACTGTAAAAGCTTTTAAAAGTAGCTGATGCTAAAATATGCTAAGTCTTAATTCCTAAAATAATTTTAAAATCAATTATTTTCAGAATTTAAAAAAACTGATCTTAATGCATTTCTTATTTTATATTTACAGTAAATTTAAAACAATAATAATTCAGATATATATTTTCAGAATATATTAGTCTTTGGGTATTTTTTGAGACAAAAAATATTTTTTTGTCTCAAAAAAATTTTAATTTTTTCATTAAAATGTTTCAACTAGTCTGGTTACGTGCAACACCCCTAGAAAAAAAGTTAAATTTAAAATAAACTAAATTTATAAAAAAAAATTTTTAATAACTTAATTTTTGCATCTTTGCAGATATTGATGAAAAAGTCAGTTTTTTTCATCAAGGTACCATATGTCACTTGTTATGTGAGTTCACAAATACACTAAAAATATATGCTATAGCTTTTTAAATGTAATACCAATTTGTTATTGAACTTTGTCCTTCTTTTAGTTTAAGACTCACGCTGTATTCTACCCAACAATCATGCTTGAATGACTTGATATGATTGAACAATCATGCTTGAATGACTTGATATGATTGAACAATCATGCTTGAATGACTTGATATGATTGAACAATCATGCTTGAATGACTTGATATGATTGAACAATCATGCTTGAATGACTTGATATGATTGAACAATCATGCTTGAATGACTTGATATGATTGAACAATCATGCTTGAATGACTTGATATGATTGAACAATCATGCTTGAATGACTTGATATGATTGAACAATCATGCTTGAATGACTTGATATGATTTCACTTTCATGTGAATAATCTTTTACATAAAGTTTTGTTTTTTAAATTTTATAGGTTATAAATAAAAAAACAAAGGTAATGATGCACAAACTGATTTTCTTTGCTAAGGTTAAAAGTTAGTATCTGTTTTCACTAAGTTTTTCACAAGTGTATGATCTAGCTTGCCTAAGTTGATAAATACCAAAGTGGCGAAATATAGTTATAATGTAAAACAGAAAAATTAATTTTCATTGGATCAATATTATCATTATTTGATATACAGTTAGGGTGTTATATGAATTTTCCAATTATGTTGAAAATATTTTAAAATAAAGTCTCAAAGAAATCAATGCAGTTTTTAATAGATACCTTTACCAATGTCTTTTCACCATAAAATTGTAAAGCTTGCTTTACAATTATAGAGTTTCTTTAATGTTAGGCCAGTAGATATATAACATTCAGAAGATATATTGTTGAAATTTAAAACGCATTGAGAAACTTCTTTATAATATATGTCTTCAATTATTTCCCCACATCTTTAACCATTAAATCTTATAAATCATCTGCATTCTCTACATAATACAGTTTCAAATATCAACTAGTAATTAAGGGTAAAAATTAAACGTGTGGTTTGCACTTGTAATTTAATCACAAAAGATAGCCAAAAAATAATAAATTTAAATGTAAAAGTAGAATTCTTATTTTAAGTAATATTTACAAATCTAAACTAATATACATGAATATGTTTTAGTAACACCAGAAAAACTGAAAATTTTGCTTTAGCTAAAAGTTTTTTTAACGAAATTTTTTAAGTTGTTTACCAGAAAACTCGCAACAAGGTTTTCTGGTAAACAAATAATACACCAATCGACAAGTTTAAATAATGTAAGTCTAAATTGGTTTTTTTGGGTTAAATTTAAAAAAAATTTTAAAATGTTTAAAATTAATTCAACAAATTAGTAATGAAAATAAAAGCGCTGTTTGTTTCTTTATAGTCATTTCCGTTTTTTATTTAAGTTTCTTTTTCTTGATAACTCAATAGAAAAATTGTGCTAATAATAATTACAATTAGTAAATTATTTTTGCCACCATTTCAATAGTGGCAAAATTTTAATAGGCTTTTAAAGTATATAATAAAAACAATTAATGAAAATAGTTTAATGAAAAAAATAAATGAACATATGATTGAAATAATAAATAAAATAATGAACAAGAAGAAAAAAAAACAGTTTATCAAACTGTTTTTTTTTCTTCTTCTTGTTCATTATTTTATTCATTATTTCTAAAGAATCTTTTTTAATTAGTAAATTAGTAAATTATAAATTAATTATATAGTATATTTTTTATACTATATTTTTTTATAATTATAAATTAATTTATAGTATGTAAATTATAAATTAATTATAAAAATAAATTATAAATTAATTATTTTTTTAAAAAATAATTATTATATAATTGTTAAATAAATTAGTAAATTAATTAATAAACAATTTTTTTTTTAATTAAGAACAGAAATAATAAAATATGAACTTTTATTGGTAAGCATCAATTTTAAATGAAACCTAAAGATAAACAGGTAAAAAAAAAAACTAGATTTAGCTCACATCATTTATCATATTATATATATATGTATCATATAATATGTGTCAACAACATGCTTATCATAAATAATAAAAATATTTAAAAATTTTTCCAAAATATTTCAGTCCAGATATAAAATTTTAGTATTATTGAATCCAGTTATAAAATTTTCAGTATTTTTTAAATAAGTTTAGTATTTTTGATATAAGTATTTTTAAAATTGCAAAAACTTGTTTTAAAAACTCTGATTTTTTAACCGGTCTTCTTTGACCAGCAAGAATTTATTCTAGGGGGTCAAAATAGCAATTTTGATCATTTGGGCAGTCATTGAGTGTTGGTTGCCCATTATTTTGTGTGCTGGAACTTAGTTTGGTTTTGTGTGTTTAATTAACATTAAAACTGTCATTTGTTGATAAATAAGGGTTGCTTTCTTTGTAGAAAGGAAGATCTTCAGCAATTTTAAATGACCACATGTAATTCTATAATTATCCTTAAAATGATTTTGAGATTGCACAATTTACATCTCAGATATTTATAATACTTTACAGAGTTAATTATTTTCTGTTTGTAATTTAAACAAAGTAAATTTTTTTTTAATTTTTGCGGCTCCAAATTGCATGGCTTTCATTTTTCCCATACTCAGGTTAATTATTAGCTCATTATTATTAAAGTATTTTGATATACTATTTAGATTTACTATTCTAGACTACTTAGATCATATATTAGACAATCTTAAGATGTTTATTATTATATGACAGCATGGTCTGCAGTATGATCTTTGTTGACATTATTTTGGAAAATCATTTATAAATTAAATAAACAACAGCAGTCCCAGGATAATATTTATTAGTATAATAAATGTAATTAGTATATTTCAAATGAAAATTTTATTCAAATTAACATTTTGAAAAAATTTTATAGAACTTTGTTGATGAAAGATGTTCTTCCATTAGTTTGGTCAAATATGAACAGTCAATATTCAGATGTAAGTCATGTTGTTTGTGTAAACATGCGCATATATTTGTATAAATGTAGAATGCTTCAATACTTGTTTTAATAAGCTTTTATTAAATAAGATTTTGCAAAAAATATTTATTTAACTTTTCAAATCTTAAGAATGTTGGAGGAGAAGCTTTAAAGTTAAAACAAGTTTTAAAATCCTTATTTTTTTATATTTTGTTTTGTAAGTTGCAGTTTGGGCATTGTTTTTATAGTTTTAGTTTTGAGTTTATATGTTGTAATTTGTATATGTTGCAGTGTAATCATTTAGTTTCTTTAATCTTTACAGTTGGTTTGAAATGTTGTGCTATATATATATATATATATATATATATATATATATATATATATATATATATATATATATATATATATATATATATATATATATATATATCAGTAGCGGAACTTCAAATTTTGGACCCCCTGCAAAAAATTTTAAAATTGATAATAATTTTTAAACACTACAGTTGCTTCAAAAAATATGGGCCCCCTACAGCTCTGGACCACACACACACACACACATATTGCGGGGTTTTGCTATATGGTCGTTCTACCACTGATATATATAAACAACAATAAATTTATTGTAAACAAAATATTTACAAAAAAGAATTCTGTGCAGAATTAAAGTTAAACTATTTTAGTACTCAAAAAAAATTTATGTTGATACAATTAAAAAAAAAATACACACACAGTGGTCGACCATCACATAAGGACTAGCTGTAATTTTTTATAAATAAAATTTAAAGCGATTTAAAGCTTGTTCTTTTATTTATAAAGTTGTACTTGATAAAAAATAAACAAATAAAATTGAATATTTTGAATATTTATTGGTTATTATGATAAATTTTAAAACTATATAAGAAGTATTAATATTTTGTTAAACCATCTTTATTTGCAATAACTACTTGAATGCATTGTGGCATGCTTGCAATTGATTTTTTATAGTTTCTGTCAACTCTGGTTTATTGTGACAGATCTTCTTCCATAAGATCTTGCTTGTTAGTAAGAATTTTTTTTCCAATCTCTTGCTTTACAATTTCTCAAACGTTTTCTATGGAGTTAAGATCAGGTGAGTTGCCTGGCCATAGCAATACATCAACTTTTTTTCTGTTTTAAATAAGCTATAAGCTGCATGCTTGACTGTTTCCCCAATGCAGTTAAGATGAAACTTTTTGTTTGTTCTGCGTTGAACAAAAGCTGTTTTGTCTATCATAACTTGAAAGGTTGACTCGTCTGAGAACCAAATCTAAAATAATACTTATTTTAAGTTATAAAATTTATAAAATATTTGAAAACAATTTATGAATATGAAGGCAAATAAAAATACTTTTCCCAATCCTTAATAGACCAGTGATAATAGTTTCGAGCCCACTCCAGTTTTTTTTTTTTATGAGTGAAGTTAGTTTTGGTTTCTTGGCTGGACATCAATCCCTCTTTTTTCAGCTTTCTGCGAATGGTCCGGTCTGACATAACAATAACAGCTTCATGGATAAACTTAGTCAATACGTTATGTGGTTTTTTTTCTGTTTTCCAGGCAGATATTTTGGATTATACAGTCCGCCCTTTGTTTTTGCTTGCATTTAGAAGGTGGACTCCTTGAACCACACTCTTTCCTTGTATCAATTTTTTTTCTCACTTGCATTACGGTTTGGTGAGAAACCTTTACAATTTTTGCAATTTTTCATTGAGAATATTTTGTATTTTGTAAAAGACATCTAATTTGAGTCATTTTTGTTGGTGTCATATCGCATTGTTTTCCTATAGCTAAAAATTTAAATAAAGAATTTAAAAACTTAGACTTTAGTGTCTTTACATAAACAGAAAAAAAACATTTAATACTTTATTTAATGATTTAATGATTATTATTAAGTTAAAAAAAGAATTAACTAAATAAAGAACAGATGCTTTTAATTAAAATAAATCACATTAAAACATCAATCAAACTAACAACTAAAAATAACCTTAAATTGTTCAATATGCACCTATTTGACTATGACGGGTGATTGCCTTTTATTAAAAATACTGTGTCCTCTTTGGTGCCATTAAAGTTATTCATAATGTATTTATTTTCATGGCGACACTTAGACGCAAGTTCGTTTCGCTTATTTAGTAAAGGCAATGGGGATGAAATTATATGATATTTTTCCATCAAGATTTGTAACATCTAATGATCACTATTTGCGTGAAACTTCGAGTAATGTTTTGAATAAATCAAGTGTTATAATTATTTAGTTTTTACTATATATACATATATATATATATATATATATATATATATATATATATATATATATATATATATATATATATATATATTTATACATATATATGTATATATATATATATATACATATATATATATATATATATGTATATATATATATATATATATATATATATATATATATATATATACATATATATGTATATATATATATATATGCATATATATATATATATATATATATATATGTGTGTGTGTGTGTGTGTGTGTGTGTGTGTGTGTGTGTGTGTGTGTGTGTGTGTGTGTGTATATCTATATAAATCTATATATGTATAGATATATATATATAGATATAGATATATACATATGTGTGTGTATTTATATATATATATATATATATATATATATATATATATATATATATATATATATATATATATATATATATATAGATATATATATAGATATATATATAGATATATATAGATAGATAGATATACATATATAAATATATATATATATATATATATATATATATATATATATATATATATATATATATATATATATATATTTAGGTAGTCTCTACTTCAGCAGATGTTCTTTACAACCTGATTGATGATCCAAACGTAAGTAAGTTATCATTTATTGTTTTTTCCAAAATTTATTTACATTAAGTTTTTACATTATATTGTGAAGGACACTGCAGATTCTATTCGAGCAATTAGTGGAGGCCTGGAAATACTTGTAAATCTGATGAGATCTCAAATCAAAGAGGTAAGTGTTTGTATATTTTGGTTTTTAAAATTTTATATATATATATATATATATATATATATATATATATATATATATATATATATGTATATATATATATGTATATATGTATATATATGTATATATATATGTAAATAAATTTTACTTTCATTTGATGAAAATATTGTAAAATTTTTGCTTACGTTATTGTATTTCCTGATAAGGAACTTAAAACAAAAAGAAGGGGTTAAAAGTACTTTTACATAAAATAATTGTACTAGAAAAAAATAAGATAAACCTTATTTTGACTTGACAAAAAAAAACTTGTATTTTAAAATATCCTTTTGCTTTAACTACAAGCCAAGTGTTTTTCTTTTGCTTTAATTACATTTTTAATTACATAGTCAGGTCAGGTTTATCCTGCTACTGGTAACATGTAACCCAGTACAATCTGCTTCATGTCCTGCTGCTTTGTAGGATATGCCTTTTTAGGCAAAGGCTAGGAGATGCAAACTCCGACATAAAACACCCCCTGCCTTGGGGCTCTTGGTTGAGTAAAGGCTCGAGATGGTGTCTCAATAAAAATACTCATCTTGGGCAGATGTTAAATGCATCCGGCTGCTGTCTTGTAGAAGGCCTCCTAGGCAAAGACTTAAGGGGTAAACAGATTCTATCTGTTGACCAGCCTCGCACCCCTTCTTCATCTATTAGGCTGGCGCAGATGTATTTTTAATACATTGTTTCCAGTTTAGGATGTTAAACGCTGGATCTTCTTGACTCAATGCATGGGTTTTGCTTGTGTCTCTGTTTTTATGACTAGGCAACTCATTCTATTATCTCCAAATGAGGGTACAGCTCTAAAGCTCAGTTTTATGGTTCTGAGGCCGGCTGGTAGTCAGGTTTCCTGAACTCTGTGGTAGCTCTCAGAGAGGCTGATTCCATCAACAGCTGAAAAATATCAGAGTACTAACAGTGCCATGTTGCGCATGGATGGTGTTCCTGTTTTTACTTTTGGTGTGCATTGCCAAGGCCACATTATAGCCCTTTGTTACGGCTTAGGGTTTATTAGTGGAAATGAGGCAATTGCTTGGGCTATAAAACAGTGTACTGAGTACTATCTATGTTTCGAGTCAAGTTCTTTAACAAATTTAAAAATGAATCAAGTAACAAAAACTACAAAACACAAAAAACTACAGTCATCACCAAGTTCGCTAAACCTATCATTCACCAATATTGGTGGTCTTCAAAGTAACTTTTCTTCTGTTGAGTCTTATCTCTTGCAAAGTTCACTAGACCTACTTGCTCTTTGTGAGACTAATTTGAGTTCTTCTGTCTCATCTTGTGATCTTAGTGTTGATGGTTATCTTCCTTTAATTCGTAAAGACTCTAATAGTCACATGCTTGGCCTGGGCATTTACATTCGAAAGAATTCACCCATTTGTAAGGAAACTAGGTTTGAATCCACAGACTACTCTTTTATGTGCTTTCGTTTAGCACCACTTCACTCTATCACTTTTCTCTTTGTCCTATATCGCTTTCCTTCATCTCTAGACTGCACTGTTCTTGATGTTATTTCTGATTATATTGACCAAGCCCTCATTCTTTATCCATCAGCCAATATTGTTGTTGTCGGTGACTTTAATGTTCATCACACTGAATGGCTTGGCTCTAGTGTCAGTGACTCTGCAGGCATTAAGGCCCACAACCTTTGCTTTTCTCAATCCCTAACTCAAATAGTCAACTTTCCAACTCGCTTTCCAGACAACCCAAATCATTTACCTTCTCTACTTGACTTATGTCTTGTTTCTGATCCAAGTTGGTGTTCAGTTTCTACACACTTACCCTTAGGTGCTTCTGATCATGGTTTGGTCTCTCTAAAACTATTATCTCATTCTTCTTTACTATCAGAATCCCCCTATCATTGTATATCTTACAACTACCTTAAAGCTGATTGGGACTCTTTCCGTAATTTTCTTTGTGATGGCCCCTGGGTAGAAATCTTTTGTCTTCCTCTTGACAAATATGCTTCTTACATAACTTCGTGGATTCAGGCTGGCATGGAATCCTTTATTTCCTCTCGACGATCCCAGGTCAATCCTCATTCTTCTCCATGGTTTTCCTCACATTGTGCTGCTGCAATTGCCAAATAGAAACCATTACTTCCATATCTTTAATAGTATTAATAATAAGGGCAAGTCTGTAATTCCACCTCTTTTGTATGGTTCAGACTTTTTCACCTCACCTAAAGACAAAGCTGAATTGTTTACCAAGAACTTTTTATCAATATCATCTCTTGATTCCACTAGTTGCGTTCTACCTGATATAGCTGTCAAACAGGTTGATCCATTGCTCGACATCCGTATCACTCCAGCTTCTGTATCTAAAGTGATTTCTTGCTTAGACTCTTCTACAGCTTGCGGCCCGGACAACATACCTGTTATAGTCTTGCAGAAGTGTTCTCCGGAGCTGTCGTCTATCCTTTCAAAACTATTCAACAAGTGCTTATCAGAGTCTTGTTTTCCAGCCTGCTGGAAAGCAGCATCTGTTATCCCTATTTTTAAAAATTCTGGAGAGCGATCCGATTCGTCTAACTACCGTCCCATTAGTCTTCTTCCTATCATAAGCAAGGTTTTTGAATCTTTAATTAACAAACACTTAATCTCTTATCTCGAATCGTATAACCTACTTTCTAATCATCAATATGGATTTCGATCATCTCGTTCTACGGCTGATTTGCCAACAGTAATAACCGATAGGTTTTATCACGCATTAGATAAAGGTAGAGAGGTTAAGGCCATTGCTCTTTACATTTCTAAAGCGTTTGATAAAGTTTGGCATGCTGGTCTTCTCCATAAGCTTTCTTCTTATGGTGTATCTGGTGAACTTTAATTCAGATAAAACTTTTTTCATTCAATCGTTATCGCAATAATTTAGACCTTCCTATATTTATGAACAGTAATGTACTCAATGAGTCTCCTACCCTTCATCTTCTAGGATTAACTCTTACTTCTAATCTTTCTTGGAAACCTTATATCAAATCAGTTGCCAAATTAGCATCTACTAAAGTTGCTTCTCTTTATCGAGCTCGACACTTTCTTACTCTGGATTCTATTCTCTATCTCTATAAATCTCAAATCCGGCCTTGTATGGAATACTGTTGCCATATCTGGGGCGGATTTTCTAATGATGCCTTTTCTCTTTTAGGAAAGGTGCAAAAATGCATTGTAAACATAGTTAGACTGCTGTTGCAGCCAACCTTCATTCTGTCACATCGTCGTAATGTTGCTTCTTATTCTCTTTTCTACAAATACTATAATGGGCACTGCTCTAAAGAGCTAGCGTCTCTTGTGCCATCTACTAAAATTCATTCTCGTGTTACTTGTCGTTCAATTAAGTCTCATTCTTTTTCTGTTACTGTTCCTAAGTGCTCCAAAAACTCTTACTCGTCTAGTTTTTTTCCTCGAACATCAGTTCTTTGGAATTCGCTTCCTTCATCTTGCTTTTCTGATTCATATAATTTGCAATCTTTTAAGTCATCTGTCAATCGTTATCTTGCTCTACAATCTTCATCTTTTCTCTTCCAGTAACTTCCAACACTAATTAGTCGTTGCTTGCAGCCTTGTTGTAAGCAAAGATGTTTAAAAAAAAACAAAAACATCTAGCAAAGTGTTTTTCTTTTGCTTTAATTACATCTAGCAAAGTGTTTTTCTTTTGCTTTAATTACATCTAGCAAAATGTTTTTATTTTGCTTTAATTACATCTTGCAAAGTGTTTAATTACATCTAGCAAAGTGTTTTGGTTTTGATTATACTAGACATTTAATTTGATAAATTAACAATTTAGAAATTCAAGAAAACTGTTTTTTATCTAATAAATTTGACAAATGTTCTATTGGATTCAGATCAGGGCTTTGTGAGGGCTATTCTAAAACGCCATTTTCATCTTTTTTAGAAGTTTTTTTGTATCATTGTCTTTTTGAAGCGCACAATTATTCCCTAATCCAAGTTTTTTAGCAGATGATTTTTAATTTCGGTTCAATATATTGTTATACAAACTAGCATTCATAGTTTTATCAATAAATTTTTATTCACCAATACCATTCTATGCTTAATTAAATGTCTTTGTTACACCAATACCATTCTATGCTTAATTAAATGTCTTAGGATACTACTTTTATGTGTGCTATTTATTTAATTTTTTTTTGTGTGTACTTACGCAACAGAACTATGGTCATATACATAATTGCTGTTTCTACTGAAAAGTATGTTTGTTTCTTGAATATGTCTGAGCTAGTTTTTAGAACCAGAAGATAATACAAATCCTATGTATAGATGTTAAATCCATCATAGGTAATTTAAAGTATGGCTGGGTTAGCTAGATATGGTTCAGTGGATAGTGAAGTCCTTTTTTACTGCAGTATGGAGCAGGCATAAATTGCAGCGTAAAGCATAAATGGCGGTGGTGTTTATCTGACGGAATAAACTAGGTATTGGTATTGAGTCTCTTCAAAACCCTGGTAATAATAAATGTGATTCTGAAGAGAAGTTTATAAACACTACTACATAAATTATGATTACACAAAAGCAATAATATTTTTTCTTTATCTTATACCTCCTATCATTTTATATTTATTCATTTTAAATATTGATATATCTATACATATGTATATTTGTTTTAGTGTAAGTGAAATTTTTGTATATACAACTCCATAACATTACACATCCACAACCATGTTTAAGTATTCTGCTCTGCAACTCAAAAGAAAAACTTCTCTTCTTGCCAAACTTTTTATACATTATCAGATTTTCTAAAATTAAACTTTTATTAATACCATCAGATTTTATTTTTTTTATACCATCAGATTTTCCTTTTAAAATGATACTGGTATAATAAAACTTTTTTGAAATAAGATTCATAAAACTTTTGTTAAAATTTTTCACAATCTGTATATCCAATAAACCGGTAAAATTGTGTTTCCTGTTAAGTCAGATGATTTGCTATATTTTTTGCCCCAATATATATATATATATATATATTATATATATATATATATATATATATATATATATATATATATATATATATATATATATATATATATATATATATATATATATATATTGCCCCAATATATATATATATATATATATATATATATATATATATATATATATATATATATATATATATTTACTTATATATATTTATATATATTTATTTATATATTATATATATATATATATATATATATACATATACACACACACAAAAATTAGTAGAAAATCACTTATCAAGCTTTTTTTCATTTTACGCTGTGTTTCATCAATTAAGACTCATCAGAAATGCAGTGTAAAATGAAAAAAACAAATGATTTTTTACTAATTTGCTGCTCTGTTCTTTTAAAAACATTGAGCAATAAATTAGTAGAAAATCACTGAACACTCTATTTTGTAGAACTTATTTAAAACTATTTGTGTATATATAATATATATCTGTGTCATCATTTATTAACTTAAAAATAGATCGTAGCAAGTGTTGGAAATCTTGTATCAAAGGTGGCACTTGATGATGAAAACCGATTAGTGCTTGTTAAATTTGGAATACTGGAAACTATTTTGAGTCAATGCAAAACCGTAAGTATATATATATATATGTATATATATATATATATATATATATATATATATATATATATATTATATATATATATATATATATATATATATATATATATATATATATATATATATATGTATATATATATATATATATATATATATATATATATATATATATATATATATATATATATATATATATATATATCCAAAATTTCTTTTAAGCACAAAAAATGTAAATATTTTAATAAACAAAACAAACTTTTTAATTAATAAAACCATTTTATTAATTTTAAACAATACATGTTTCGACTATCGCTAGTCATCTTCAGTTGAATTTAAATTTTTTTAAATTTGTTTAAACACCTATATAGGTGATTTTTACAATAACAATACAAAATGTAATTATCTATGTACAAACTATTAATTTAATTACAAAAATACAACAAAATCTATAAGAATAACAAGTCATACTAAAAGAATGAATAGAAAGTGATGAAAAAATAGGTTATTAAAAATTTACATAGAAAATAATAACTAAACAGAAAGTGTCATTTAGACATGGTTGACTTGTTTGTTCAAACCAGGTTTTAACCATGTTCATAGAATTTTTTATTTTTGTAATTAAATTAATAGTTTGTACATAGATAATTACATTTTGTATTGTTATTGTCAAAACCACCTATATAGGTTTTTAAACAAATTTAAAAAAATTTAAATTCAACTGAAGATGACCAATGATATTCGAAACATGTATTGTTTAAAGTTACTAAAATGGTTTTATTAATTAAAAAGTTTGTCTTGTTTATTAATATATATATATATTTATATATATATATATATATATATATATATATATATATATATATATATATATATATATATATACATATATATATATACATATATATATACATATATATATATATATATATATATATATATATATATATATATATATATATATATATATATAGTACAAGTTGTTCCTTAGTGGTTGTAACAAATAATCTGTTAGCACTTATTTAAGTAAGTGGAGTGAATGATGCAACACTTCTCATTCAAGCTTCAATAATTTTTATTGCACAGATTTTGTAATGACAGGCATGGTCATAAAGGAAGTAAACTGTGTTGTATTTTAGGTGTTTTATTATGTGATTGTATTTAGCAGAGTACACAATGCTGCACACATCTTACCAAATTGAAAGTTTGTAGATTGACTTTTGGGATTGGTTTTGATGGTTGATTTGACTCTAGCTGCTGGCATTTTTAAATGTAGGTTATGTGGATTAGCCATTTAGTATCTAGAGTGATGAAATAGTCAAACTACTTAAATGTGTGGTGCAAGGACAAGACGTTTATGCAGGTGTCTGATTGTTGACCTAAACTAGCATTTAGTATATGTGGTATTCAGACACATTACATGAAGGTCTTTTGAGAATAAAATGTCTCAAGATAAAATATTAGATGTTTGTTAGTTAAAAACTCAAAGAGCTTGTTAAAGACCTTGCTAACAATAAGAGAAATTGGAATGGATGATGTGGTTAAAGTGGTTAAAGTGGTTAGAGTGTTCACTAAAGTTTTTAAAAATTGAAAGCACAGATGTTGTTTTTTAAAAAGAAGGAAAACAAGATTTAGTTAAGCACTTATTAAATATTTTGGAATACTTAAGACATATTTTAAGAAAACTTTGGCAAGACTATAAAAGGAATGTCTGGACCATGACCTGTAGAATAGTTTATAAGAGAAAAAGCTTTAGCAATTAAAGACAGAGTGATTTGAATATCTAATAAAAGATTAATCTGTTTCTCTGATTTTACAAAAAGAGTTGTTAGATTCAAGAGTTAAAGTAGAGGTTTTTTGCAAATAGTTCTGATAATCATTTGCTAATGATACTGTTAAAGATTTCCCAAAAGTTTTCAGAACCAAACTTCTGAGATAAAATATGAAATTTAGTAAACTGAAAATGTCAGCTTAGCATCAAGCAACACCTTTTTGCATTGATCTCTTGCAGAAAAAGACTTATTCTCAAGAGACTTGTTCTTGTAAAAAAATGATGAAAAAAATAATTGCACTTAGAAACAGCATTTGCACAAGAAGATGAGAACCATGGGGTAGAGTGAGGCTTGATTTGAAACTAACATGAAGGATTAAAAGCTTCTATGCTTTTAGAGATCCAGAAGATCACGAAGGAGCTGCAATTGCTAGTTGAGAAACAAAAGATTACAAAAAAATTCAGCTTTAAAAATTCAGCTAGTAGAAAGAAGTTTAGCTAAGGTGGTTCTAAAGAAGAACTACCATATAAAAGTTTAAATGAGACCCAGCATGGTCTGAACCCCCAAAGAAGACCAAGGAGAAACTGAGCATAAGCTAGCTAGGATTAGAGACAAATCACAAATCAAGGAGTAAGGGTAAGTGATTAGGGTTTTCTGGAAAATAAGTCACAAAGTTAAATATCTAAGTAAGAGATTGAGAAAGACAAAATTTCAGTTTTAATTTCAGCAGTGTTTCTAAAGCCTAGCCATTTAGCATGATTAGCGTTGTTCTATGTAGTATTAGCTGCTGAGTGGCTTAAGTGAATTTAATAAAGAAGGGAATGTTGTACATTGTTTTTAGCTTTTTTGTGTGTTATACAGAAGTTGTTCTGCAGAAATTTTAAATGACTTGATAGGCTGTTTTACACCTTATACCAAAATCATGGAAACTTTTTCAAGCTTTTAGATTGCTTTAGGAATTTTTAGAAAACTTGCTCTGTACTTTTTAGTCAACCCAATAGTATAATATTGATAGTAAACAATAATAATACTTATAATTATTTTACAGTATTATACATTGATTATTATATTTAATTACTATTGCATTATAATTATTAACTATCATATTAGATATTATAATATTGACAAAAAACAATTATTCAATACAGTAAAATATTTTATAAAAACCGTTATTCCATTTTATAGTTGTTCTCATTAATATATATTTTTTCTTATATATATATATATATATATATATATATATATATATATATATATATATATATATATATATATATATATATATATATATATATATATATATATATATATATATATATATATATATATATATATATATAAAATAAATAATATAACAAAATAATTTTTATTATTTTAACTGGTTATCTTTTTAGAATAACTTACATGTATTCAAGTCAATTTGTAGCTGCATTGTGAGGTATGAATTTTTTTTTTTGTTGAAAAATTGTTTGAACTTATTGTGTACAATTTTTGTTATCTCCAGATCTCTGTTCCTGCACAAAGATTTAAAAATTCTATTGTTTTTCTAACAGTGTTTTTCTCATTTAAATTATATTTCAAATGTTAAATAAAAAAAAAAAATGTTAGTTGAAAACTGCTGAGTTTGTGTTGTTTAATCTAAAAAATTAAAAAAGTATAAGTTGATGTTATTCTTCAGAAGAAAATTTTTGAAGAAAAAGAATTATCATTTCCTAAATGAGATTTTCTGTCTTTGCATATCTCAAAATTGTCTTTTGCATTTGTCTTCATTAAATAAGTTATTAAAAATAAATTTAAAATTATTTTAGAATAACTTATAAAAGGTTATACTTGTTATAAGTTATTATAAAATGAAATTTTTATAGATTTTTTTAAAAGATATTTTATAGGTTTAAAGAGATTTTTTTAAAAATTTGAAATTTTTATAGGTTGCTTATATTTTACTAATTGTGTAGATGGCTGAAATATATAGTTACATACAAAAGATTATTTCCAAATTTTTTTTGCAGCTCACTTATGAAATAGAATCTTTAAAATGTTCTTGATTCTATTGAAGCATTTAAGTTTCAGATGTATCTAGAACTTTTGATTAGTTTCTTTATGAAATTTTTTTATTAATGTCTAAAGTGCTGTAACTGTTGCAAATTATTGTTCCTTGAAAAAAACAGCCCAGCAGATTTTATATACTGAATGGTGAAGTAATGTTTAATATAAACTCTATGAAATCTTATAATTCTTGCTTAATTAAAAGCAAAAAAATAAAACTTTCCCTAATAGAGTTCAACCTATTTGCACCAAACTTCAATCCAAGCAATTAAGAAGAAATTATACAAATGGCATTTGCTTTTGAAAATTTATCAGAATTTATAAAGGTTTGATTTCTACACATTTAGCTACTAATCAAAAGCCATTCCAGCACAACCTCAGGTAAAGTTGTTTTAAGAAGAATAGTGAAAAAATTCTATTTGCTTAAATCAATCATCTATCAAATAGCACCTCACAATAAAGTATTTTATAAAATTTATCATGCAAATTTTTGCTCTGGTGGTTTGAGGTTAATAAATAAGTGATCTTATCATTTTAACATCATTTTTAGAATGTTTGTTAAGTTGCTTAGGTCTTAAGTGAAAAAAGTTTTTAAAGGTTTACCCATAATGTTCTGGAACTGCTCATTTTTATCTAGTGATAGATACATTTTTTGACTATTTGATTATTTCAAGTAAAAATAAAGTTATAAAAATTTTTAAAGAAATTACAAAACCATTTGAATCTGTTAATAATGTACATTTTAAATGACTAGATATTTGTTTATTTGACTTTAAGAACAAAGTATGCCTAATAAAAATTTAAATAACACGAAATATACAGTTAATGCTAAGACAAGTATTTTGTAACATCTTACTAAGATAATATTACAGAAAAGCTGTTTGTTCAATTACCTATGTGCGCTACTGTATATATGTATATTAGGCCTGGTAGTATTAAAGTTTTCCCATAGAATATTGCTTCAAATTGAACACTAAAAAAACAAGAGTAAAATGAGTAAAATATCTTTTTTTATGTTTTCAATAAAAGAGTTTCTGCTCAAACTAAAGTTTTTTTATTGGTTGATATATGTACACTTTGCTGTGTCTTGGTAGATATATGTACACTTTGCTGTGTCTATTCCTATATCAGTTGATGTATGTATACAATGCTGCGCTTATGACTATACGAGTCAATGTATGTATACTTTCCTTTGTCTATGGTTTAATTGATATATGTGCACTTTGTTATGTGTAAAAATGGTTATCAAAAAGAGAGTAAAACTATAAATATTAAAAACAAACTTTATTTGTCAAGGAATATAAATGATTAGTCATTAGAGTTTTGATTTTTATGGTTTTTAAAAAAATGGTAATGTACTTTATCAATTAATGGAAATGCTTTAATATTTAGGTTAAAAAGTTTGCTTAAAAGTTAAAGTAGCAAAAAAATCATTTAAAAATTGTTCACACTCAAACACATGCACAAATAATATATATATATATATATATATATATATATATATATATATATATATATATATATATATATATATATATATATATATATATATATATATATATATATATATATATATATATATATATATATATATATATATATATATATATATATATATATATATATATATATATATATATACAGTTATAAATACTCATAAAAAGTTTCTCTTTCATTTAAATTGAATTTTTATAAGGAAAAAAAGCTTAAACACAAGTCATAGTAAAAATAATTTTATTATAAAAGTGTTTTATGATGTTTAAGCTAGTTCTACTATTATTTAAAGGTTTACCAAATTTCTTTAAATTTTTAAATGTATTTATAATACTGTGTTATACAGTATCATAGAATAATAATATAATATTGTGTTATACAGTATCATAGAATAATTATATATTATTTAAAGGTTTACCAAATTTCTTTAAATTTTTAAATGTATTTATAATACTGTGTTATACAGTATCATAATAACTAACAGCAATTTTAATGCAAATATTTTTTTTTACTTATTATTAAAGCAATGCCAAGGAAATCCCAAACAGGTTGTATGCCACTTGTTGCTGTTTTTTCCATATTATAACTTTAGACACTGTGGTTTTAAATAGATTTTAAATATAGGATAGTGTATAGTGTAATAACATACTGAAATTTTTTTTGAAAATTTTATAATGTAGATTAAAAATATACTTTATACAATTTCTCTTCGCGTATTCAAAAGCTAAATGTGTTGTGGTTTTTGGTGTGAAATTATTGGTAAGAACATTGCTGAGCAATAAAATAAATAATCATTTAGTGAAGCTTCAATAGGTGTAGCTTCAATAGATGAAGGAAAAAATTTTCTTGAGTTTAATTAATAATTTAATAGTTGTTAAATTAAAGTCCTATTTTTTTTTAAATATTTTTGATTTTAAATAGTCAAAGATTCTTGATTTGCTAACACGATATTTAGCAGCACTCTTTCTGATGCTCAAACTATTTTTTCAAACATCTTTTAGATGGTTTTCCTTAAAAATATGATTTATAGAATTGGTAGGGGTAGATTTCAGACAATCTGTCTGAAGTCTATCACAGTGAGTGTCTGGAGTCTATCACAGTAAAGTATATTTTAAAAAAAATTACATAACTATATAAGAAAAAAAATTTTCACTTTTAAATTTAATAAAAGATGATGATGATGATGATGAATCCCCCTCTGAAAATTTAATTGTAATATTTGCACTCTCTCCTTGATAATCTAAAAATTTACAATTTATCATATTTAAAATGCTCTAGTTCTAGACCTGCCCTTGGCCCCAGCTTTATGTAACATGATAAATACAATTTTAGAATTAATATTATAAAGTCTTTTTTTTTTAGATTAAAATTTATAAATAAATTTTTTTTTTAGGTTTTCTTCAAATGTTGACTCATGTGCAAAGTTAAAAGGTACTATACGTTATATAGGTGGTTGGTTACATTCTTCAGAGTTATGTGCAAAATATGATGCTGTTCATGCTCTCTTTTGTTTGTCTTTTGACAAGGATAATTGTATTGTTATGCACAACAGTGGTATATTTAAGGTAATTTTTTATTTATTATAAAAATATATCTCTAGCCCTGCCTCAACCGAGACCAATCAAACTTCACAATTATTATTTTTTAATATTTTCTTATAAAAGACTTCTTGTTTACAGCATTGAAAAGTTCAATAAATGACTAAAAACCTCTTATTTTATCTTTCCGTAAAGATAAAAAACGTTAAAATCGAAGTTTTCACTTTAGTTTTCACTCATAGCAATTTACTTCCATAATCTCTTTATAGTCGTTTGAATAAATTACTAAACAAAAACGTTTCAGCTTTTATATAACTTCTGCCCCATAGTATTAAACTAAAACTTCAAACTCGTAGATAATAAAATCACCGAATATTTTTAAACAAAATAAAACAACTAGCTTCGTGATATTTAAAAAAAGATAAACCAATCAAAACGCACACAAAATAAAACGGCATTTTTTGATAACGAAAGCTTAAAATTTATCTTTGGATCTCTCCTTAAATACGCTGATTAGAGTAAAGATATTATATGCCTTAAAATTGGCAAAACTGAAAATTATCCATATTTTATATCGTTATATCTTAATAAAATCGTTGTCTAAAAAATTTTGATATGTAGCTATCAACCAGCTATAGATTTGTAGATATTTTGTTAGAGCTACGACATGTAGCTAGCGACACATTGCTATAAAATCGCAATGTTTAAACTTCAATTATTCTCATAATTATAATAGACTCAACACTAAAAATTGAATTTTTAAAAATGCTAAAGAGATTAAGCAAAAATAAAATAAGAAAAAAAAATCGCTTGAAAATCGCTATAAAGCTAGTTAGTCACTCGCTAGTCGCTAGCTCATTTCCCACCGGGAAGTTACCATCAAATAACTTTCGTTCTCTCCAGAACTTGTGCTACTGAACTTTTTTTTTTGCGTGGCAAATCATAAAAGATAAAGTTAATCTGTTAAAAGTAGCAACAGTCAATAAATGGAAGATAGAAATTGATTAAAAAAAAAAATGTAACAAAATTCCTTATGAAATGAGTCGCCATATTTGCAGATCGAATGCTTTGCGTTATGTTTGGGCATCAATTTGAACATTCGGACAAATCTTTTATTTTTGAACAAGAAATCTATAATTCTGCATTGTTTTTTCGTTGTAGTATCGGGATGATATGTGTATCATCCCGAAATACAAAAATACACAGGTTATAATCTAATATTATTAAGGATAGCATTAACAAAATGTTGTTTGGTTTTTTACCCCGATTAGTTCTTTAGATTCATATCAATTTCTTTCAAGGCAATGAAAAAAAAAACTTTCTATTATAAAAACGTATTTTTTTAGTAGTAATATTGAACAATTAAAAATTTTTAATAGAAAACTTTAAAAATATATGTTTTTGTGTATATTTGTTAGTTTGATTGTTTTTTTGAATTGTTACATTTTTAAATTGAGTTTGATTTTATTTAGCACCTCGTCGAATTGATGCAACGGTCTGATAGTGAAAGTTTACAAAATGAATGTACCCGCTGTGTTAATAACATAAAAAAGAATGCACCTTCTGTAATATAAAATATTATATTGTATAAATGTAGTGTAAAATATTATATTGTAAGAATTGTGTAAACAAAAACTTCAAGTTGTAAACTTTTACGTAAGATTACGCTAATATTGTTTTGAATTTTCGAGAAAACTCGCAAATTTTTTAGATGAACCCCTCCTTCCTGAAAAATATTTGCTGGTTAGATCAACTTTCCCGCCGAAACCTAGTTGTTTCTTTGCATAAGCAGGTTTTGATAAAAGCTTTAAAAAAGAGCCTGATGAGAAATTCTTATTTTTTTTTTTTGTTGTTGTTGTTGTTGTTGTTGTTGTTTTTAGTGTATAATAATGTATACAATAAATAGTGATAAGCAGGGGACGCAAACAGGAGGCGATTTCATAGATTTTAAGTTGTATTTTGCCGAGTTGTGGCCATAACTCGGTATGTGGCCTAATTAATTATCAGTACATTTATATAAAGTTTTGTTTTAAAAACACTCAAAATTTTAGTTTATACTTTTCTTTTTTTTTTTTATTTATGTTATTTAGGTGCCCCAAGAAGACCTAACGGTCTTGTCACAGAGTACCGCGGAAGTGCATTTAAATAGCCTCCTTATTTACCGTGACGCGAAATTATGTCCAGAGCACGTTTCGGACCTGGATCTCCTGCTTCTACAGCAAGCGCTCTAACCACTGCGCCACGACAAAGAAATTTTCAACTTAAAAACTAATCGTAAAAAGTTTTATAGTTGTGTCCTTTTCGAAATGTCGGGTTCATTTGTTCAAATGAACCCAAAAAATTGAAGAAACTTTGACTAATGGATATTTGAAAGTAATAGTTTTTTTTCACCAAAATACATATAGCTACAATTTAACGATGAATAACACTTAATAAATTTGTAGAATGACTTGTAAAATAAATAAAAAATTCGACTATCAACAACCTTTTGTTTAAGAGTAATATTTTGTTCAAGCACTTCTTAACTAAACATTTCTATATCTTTAGGAGTGATATTTTGTTCAAACACTTTTTGATATCTTTATTCTTATTTTAGTATATTTATTCTTAAGCAACTATCTTTGACCCGAAAAATTTTTTTTTTATTAATATTTTTGTATTTAGGCATGGAGAAATTGATTTAATCTTGATTCCTTATGATATAAATATGAGAATTGTTACTATTTGACATTAAAATCTCAAGATAAGATAACCAAAATATAAATTTTATTTAGGTTAGCACGTTCATTTTACCTTAGACCTCCAACTACAATACAATATGAGCAAAAACAAACAATTCCGTATGATGTAACTTGTTGGGTAAAGTTAATGAGTGGTTTATAAGTACTTTATTTGACTCGGAATATAAAAAGATATTTAGTCATAATTGGAAATATTTAGACCACACGGGTAAAACCAAAGAAGTTTAGTGTTTAGTGACATTAGATATCTGTTAATTCATAATATATTTAATTAAAAGTATATTTTTAAGACATTTTAGTCCTTACACAATATAAAAATGCAGTTTTGTGCTAAATATAAGAATAATTTATTCAAAGTGTTCTTTTCAAAACAAGACACTTATTTTGGACATCTGTGGTATTTCCGTTATAAACTCATCAACTCATAAATTACGTTGTAACCTTTCATAGCACTTAATTTTTTAAAGGTAGATGGTAACGCATTGTAATATACAACCACAACGTACTAAGTGTGTGATGGGATAATAAAGCCATACCCCCCACCCTCCCACCCTCCTCTTTAATAAAAAAAATTTAAATAAAACATTATATAAAAATTTTTTTTAACTTTATACAAAATAGCATTGCAACCTTATCTCTTCCCAACCTCATCTATTTACCACAGGTTTTTCCATGATGTCTGTGTTCCATCATTTTATATCAAGTTTGTATAAACCATACAAAAACCAATTGTGAACACAACTCTAATAAAAATGTTTTTTTTTAATTTCAAAGAAAAATAAAATAAATTTAAAAAAAAGATCAAATAATGTCTTATTTTGTCCATTCAGAAAATGTTTAGCTTAAGTAAGTCTTTAAATTTTTAACAATAAAAAGCAACAGAGTTATGTATGCCTGTTTCGGTTTATCAGGCACTTCGATTATTGATCTAAACATATGGGATGTAACACAGATAAAATTAAATATTTCTATTTTTCCATATTATTAAACTTTAACTAGCCTTTAATATTTTAATTTCTCTAAGTGAACATGTCTTAAATGAACAAACAACCAAGAGGTTTGGCTTTGAAACTCTGCAAATTTCGGAAATTTTTCGTGTGTCATGTTTATATATAATCTTGAACTGTTATGGTTTTTTGTGAGATAGTCTAGTGTTTCTGCAAGAAACTTTTAATTTGCGATGACCAATGTTTCTGTCACACTTTATAGAGGTATAATGCCTATACAGAATGTGACTGAGTTCTAATTGATAATGAAACAGTAATGCTGCCAAGTTTTTCAGTTTAATAAACTAGATAATAAAATTAAATTAAAACTTTTCATTTTGTATTTTGCCTTGCACATAAATTGCAAATCAATTTGATATCATTTACATTTGAGACAATTGATAACTTAAAATCATGCATCATAGAACATACAACATCAGACCATGTGTTTCATCATAGCAATAAAAATAAAATTTTTGAATTAAAAGTATATTAGTGTTAAAAAAAAATAAAACACGTATTGCCTGGAATACTATACATATTGTTTTCAAACGTTTAAACATTTTTTTTTTTTTGGAAGTCTAAGCAAATTACTTCACAATTAAAATGATCAGTCAGAATATTATTGAGTCCATTTTCTACTTTTATACAAAAGGTACATCTTATGAATTAAAATAAAAGTTGAAATAATTCAAGAGAAAATTTTGTTATTATAAAAAAAACTTATTTTATATATATATATATATATATATATATATATATATATATATATATATATATATATATATATATATATATATATACATATATATATATATATATATATATATATATATATATATATATATATATATATATATATATATATATATATATATATATATGATAAGTTTATATATACATATATATATATATATATATATATATATATATATATATATATATATATATATATATATATATATATATATATATATATTTATATATATATATATATATATATATATACATATATATATATATATATATACATATATATATATATGTATATATATATATATATGTATATATATATATATATATATACATATATATTATATTTATATATATATATATATATATATATATATATATATATATATATATATATATATATATATATATATATATATATATATACTTTTATACAAAAGGTACATCTTATGAATTAAAATAAAAGTTGAAATAATTCAAGAGAAAATTTTTGTTATTATAAAAAAACTTATTATATATATATATATATATATATATATATATATATATATATATATATATATATATATATTTGTATATATAAACTTATCATATATATATATATATATATATATATATATATATATATATATATATATATATATATATATATATATATATATATATATATATATATATATATATATATATATATATACACACATTGATTATTGGTGTATATAGATATATACACAACAGTGATTGTTTCAAAGTTGCACTTTTTTTTAAATGACCATAGAACCTTAAAACATAGTTTTTTTGTTATGAGTTTTTAAATTAAAATAGCTTAGTACTAAAATATCATAAAAGTATATAAAACTTGAAATTTTCAAAAACTGGACAACTATGGTTTTACACGTGTGGTTATCATACATAAAGCATTAAAAAAGTTTAAGACATTTTTTTCAAAAGAGCCAACTCCAATTCTAACACAACGGTAAAATATATGTGCAGAACGTGCGGTAAAAGTGATGCAAGATTTGGTACCTTTATGACAAAGTATAGAAAAACTTAACATTAAATACTTTTGTCAAATACACTGTAAACATGTCTTAATTATTAATTATTTATTTTAAATTATTAAGTTACATTTCTTATATTCAATAAATCTTTTTTTTTTAACGTTAATGTTCATCAAATTATTTCGCCCAAAAAGTTTACTGAAGTTTTTTCTTTTAATGTTAGCGCTATTAATTATTAGATTTGGCAATTTATTGAGAATATTTTCGAATTTATTTACTTTATGGAATAAAATAGTTTTGGTTTTATCCACATTTAGAGAGAGTTTGTTACTTATAAACCACTCATTAACTTTACCCAACAAGTTACATCATACAAAGTTGTTTGTTTTTGCTCATATTGTATTGTAGTTGGAGGTCTAAGGTAAAATGAACGTGCTAACCTAAATAAAAAATTAAAAATAAACTACTCGCTAAGCGCAAAAAGTCCCATCACAGAAAAAACAGATTAGATTGAGACAGCAACACACGCACGGCACATAAAGCGATTTTGGATTGAGTTCAAGAACACGTTTTTGTACACCACGACTGCAGCTTTTCATATTTGCTTTGTTATCATATCCTTGTCCTCTGCATGTTTGAAAATTAAATTCAGCTTTTCAAACATTTGTAAACATGCTTCCGCGCGACCTTAACCGTCATTGTAGGGTAGGAATCCCAAAAAAAATATTCACTAATTTCTACTGGTCAATGTTGCATACTCACAAAAACACAGTCATTTGCTCTTCGTGACCAGCATGAGGTGTGCAATCCAAAATGATGGAATAATATTTCGAATTTTGAGGCAGCTTCATTGAACAGATTAATTACCTTGTTTTGAACAATTTTGCCCAACTAATAATTATGATTTTTTTTATATAGCCATAAATGATCTTCTAGGCATATAATATACTTTTTTTATAAACCATCCTACAAATGATGTGCTAAATTCCGTTTTGCAAGAAACCGCATAATTGAAATAATAATTTTTAAAATATTATTAGTGCTAAGTCTCGTTTTGAACTAATTTTTGTGTTTCCTTGTTGATTGTCTCTCATGTCTAGTGTTCTAGCTGATTTATGATCAGCTAGAACACTAGACATTTTTTTCAGTTGCTATTTCTTCCAATTGTGACCTTGATTTTTAGATCTGAAAACAATCTACAG